CAAATTATGAAGTAGGCTCTCAACAATGTTATCTGATCACCAATCACTATCCGAATACCATAGCGATGTTAAACTATGTGGAACTCAATATGAGGCTGCGACAACAGATTGTTGGACTGTTGTTGAACCGCGATGTTATCCAACTTGATGACTACTTCAAGATCCTCTGGATAGACGACTGTCCTGATTGCGACCACGCTTGGGTTGATGTACAGCATGAATCTGGTATTCGTGACTACTGTGACTTGCATTTCCTTGAATCTAAATGTTTTCTTAGAATTTCTTCTTGCCCCTGGTATGACACTTATGATGAAGAATTCATAGCGGAAACTGAAGTCTTTAGTTTCTCAGACTCCACTTTTGATGATTATTAGGTTTTGTTTGTTTAAACAGTTGTTTTGTTTTGGAGAATGTAACAGGTATGGGTACTCGGTTATTGGTTTTGTTTTATGTTTTGTTTTAAGTATCGCTTTGATACTTGGTTTGTTTTAAGTATCATTTGATACTTGATTTTGTTTTATGTTTTGTTTTAAGTATCGCTTTGATACTTAATTAGTTTTACCAGAGTGTATCGATTGATAGCTTTGATTAGTTTCATTCATATTAGGCATGAACAGATTTTATATTTAAAGACTGCTTGTTTCTATGATAGAAAAAGTAGACTTCGACAGACAGTATTTCAATATACTTGATTGAACGGTTACTTCTTTGTTCATCAGTACACCCTCGAAGCCTCCTTTAGTTTTCAGCTCTCGCCTCCTGTCTGGAAGAGCAGGCCACCTGCCAACTATTGTATCTATTACCAATAACGTGATTAGTACCTTGCGAACACGTTAGAATCTTAATCTTTATTGCAACGTTATCGTTATGCCAAGGAAAGCTCTTCACGAAAAAGAGTTAGAGAAAGCTTACAATAGGCGTTCCTGAAAGAAGACAGAGGTCTTGTATTATCGGTAAAGTAGGCAGAGGCCTAGTGCTATCGTAAGACAAGAAAGGAGAAGAAAGAGAAGAGAAGTATCGTTCTCTGTTGTCAAGAACTAACCATCTGAGGAGGGATCGTTACATTACAAAGCGTCACCTAGTGCGACGCCAAACGATACAAGAGCAGCAAGTCCAGTAACCACAGATCAAGGATCACCAGTCGATAGCTCTTCCGCAGGAACTCCACGCCCCGAGAGAATGTCAGGATCAGCAGTACCTAGACCACCGGCCCCTGCTGCTCCCACACCAGGTACTAGCATACTCGGAATGACAGAGAATCAGTTTCAAGTATTTCTAGCAGCAACACGAAATACAGGACAAGGAAACATCCAACATCCAAAAGCAAAGGAACCTGACACATATGAAGGAGCCAAGGACAAGCTATGAATATTCCTGGCACACTGTGAAGGATATTTTGCCGTTAAAGGCTATGGAGAACACCACGATGAGATCCAGATTCCATATGTGGAATCCCTAATAAGAGGACTCACGGGGCAATGGATCACGCCCTTCTAAGATGGAAGGAAACAGAGGGAATGGGTCACGTACGAAGAGTTCAAAGCAACACTTTTCGAACAATTCGCGGATCCCAACGCCAAAGAGACAGTAAGATGAAAGCTGGAAAAACTCCAACAAGGAAAACAAACCTTTTTGGCCTACTGGAACGAATGCCAACTATTGGAATATGAGGCCGAGTTTGATGATGCTACCCTCTACATCATCCTCCTAAGAAACTGTAGCAAGAGACTCTGACAGGCATGGAGAATTTCCGGCTTGCATTACACTACGGCAGAACGATTTGCAAGGTGGGCCATCGATAAGGAAAGCAAGCTAAACATGGTTCAAAGCAACTTAGAAAATACTCTAGCATACAGGGTGGTCCAATCATCTAGGAATGTGGATGGTACCTTTAAACCACAAGCAGTTCGAGGAGAAAGTCGAGCATTACCACCAGGCGAGCCAATTGAGTTGGACAAATCAAGGGCAGGACCAGCTCTGAACCTGTCTAAGGAAGAATATGCTAGAAGAATGAACGGGAAACTCTGCTTAAGGTGTAGAAAAGCAGGATATCGGATAGGAGAATGCAGAAGCCGACCCGATAGTTGATACCAAGGCACTCAAGCTACTGGAAATAATCCTTTCCAGAATAAAAAAAGGAGCAACATTCGCGAAATGGTTGCAGAAGATTTACCGGCAGAAAACGACAAGGGTCCCCAGTAAATAATCGTCTAGGAGATCCAAGATGTGGACCTGGAAAACCCATCAAGGTAGCAAACTATTATACGACACTACACGCGCAAAGGGGAGAAAAAAGACCGAGATCATGTGATGATCAAGATGAAGATATATAAGGAAGAAAACAAAGAAACAACAATATATGCAATACTTGACTTGGGGACCACCGAAGACTTCATCGACAAGGAAATCTGCGACAAATACAGCCTCCACAGCAAAGAAGTGAAGAAAGCAAGATAAGTCTACCTAGCAGCTGGAAAGCCAAGCACAATGGGTCCTATAACCCACACAGCGACAGTACCTATGGACATTGACAGCTATAGGGAAATGGCAACCTTTCAGGAGGCCGATCACAAGAACTATGAGATAGTCCTAGGGACGCCATGGTTGCGAAAACATAATCCGACAATCGATTGAAACGCGAACAAGATGACCTTTACAAGTGAACTATGTGCGACACGATGTCTCAACAGTTCACCTGTGGTCTACTCGACACTGATACGAGAAGCGGAAGAAGAAACTTTGCATGCAACGTTCGTTGAGATGTGGCACGATAAGAGAGTCTGGATACAAAGGCTGGACCAAGAGGTAAAGGTGCCTACCAAGGGTTCCAAAGGGGCAGCAGGACACAACCTGTATGCCAACCAAAGAATCAAGATACCTGCCAACTGGCAGGCAACGATGGCAAGAGGAATAGCCATCGGACTACCAGAAGGCACCTATGGATGAATAGCACCCTGCAGTGGTCTAGCAGTCAATTATTGACTCATGACCATGGCAGGAGTGATTGATATCACCTACACAGGTGAAATCAAAGTGGTCCTGGCCAACTTGGCTCAAGAGGACTACGAAGTCCAAAAAGGCGATCGAATCGCACAGTTGATCATTGAAAAAATCAACAAAGAGGATCTACACGAAGTAGATCAACTGGAAGAAGCCACAAGAGAACAAAAGGGATTTTGAAGCACAGACCAAAAAGAGCCCGATACGACAAAAAGAATCGAGATCAAAGAGATCACAGCACAGGCCTTTGGATGGTACTATCGAAAAGGAGATACAACAGGAATTCTCAAATGAACATACGAAGACGAAAAATTGGTCCTAGCAAAAATCAACATCAGCACGGAACTAGCAATCCAGGAGAGAAAATATCAAAGCAAAAAGGGATGGAAAGAATTGGTTCCAAAGGAATATCATCAATTCACGAATCTATGCCAAGAAGAGAAAGCTACAAAGCTACGACTTCGAAGACCAGGAATCAATCATGAAATTCAGCTGGAAAAAGATGAGAAAACGGGAGAAATAAAAGAAATTCCCTACAAGAAGTTATACCCACTAGGGGAAGCAGTGCTCGAAGAACTGAGGAAGTACATCGAGCAAAACCTAAAGAGAGGATGGATCAGAGACTCCTTCGCATCTGGAGGATCTCTAATACTATTTGTCAAAAAGAAAGATGGAAAGATGAGACTCTGCGTGGATTACAGAGCCCTCAACTTGGTTACCAAGAAAGATCGATATCCACTACTCTTGATTGGAGAAGCACTGGATAGACTGCGGTCAGCAAAATACTTCACCAAACTTGACATCAAGGATGCATACTACAATATACGCATCAAGGCAGGAGATGAATAGAAGACCACATTTGGCTCAAGATACGGAATGTTCGAAAATTTCGTTATGCCCTTCGGGCTAACCAATGCACCGGCTTCATTCCAGAGATGGATCAACAAGGTACTCAATAAGTATCTCGACATATGTTGCATTGTATACTTAGACGATGTACTCATCTATGCGGAAAACATCGAAAAACACCAGAAGGATATCAGCAACATCATGGCCGCAATACAAGGATCAGGAATGAAGATCAAATCCACAAAATGCGAATTCCATAAAGAAGAAACGGAATACCTCAGATTTATCATCAATTGAAGCGGGGTCAAGGTCGACCCTATCAAAACAGCTGTAATATGGGATTGGGCCAAACCGAACAACAAAACAGATGTTCAATGCTTTATGGGATTCTGCAACTTTTATCGAAGGTTTATAGAGGGATTCAGCAGGCTTGTAAAACTACTCTATAACCTAACAAAGAAAGACAAGAAATGGGAATGGGGAGAAACAGAACAGAAAGCATATGATGCAATACGAATGCATCTAACATCAGCACCCATACTGGTTCATTTCGACCCAAACTGAAGGACAATGATTGAAACGGACGCCTCAAAATATGTGTACTTGGGCATACTATCCCAACAATGCAACAATGGAAAATGGCGGCCAGTGTCTTACCGATCCAAGATAATGACCCCCATGGAGTATATCTACAACGTTGCGAACAAAGAACTATTAGCGATAGTTCAAGCATTAAAGGAATGGAGAAGAGACCTTTTGAACAATGACCATCCAGTCTGAGTTCTAACCGACCATAAGAATCTGGTCCCGTTCATGACTATGAAAGAACTGAATGACTGCCAGATAAGGTGGATGGAACATCTTAGTAAATACAACTTCAAAATTGAATATCTACCAGGCAAAGAGAGTGGAAAGCCAGATACTCTCATAAGGATTGCAAGCAAGAAACCACTAACGAAAGAAGATGAAAGAATCAAACTGAAAACACGAACGCTATTACCAAAAACCTACTTCCAGGCAATGGAGGTTATCCAATTCACATCAACTGAGAAAAGGGAGATTGAAAAGGCAAATGAAGGAGACAAAACAATTCAGGCAATAAGAGAAGTATTAAAGGAAGGAAAAAAGGAGATGAAAGGAATTGCTCTGAGTTTATGCCAATGGAAGGATGAGAACCTGTAGTACAACGAAAAACAATAGATTTCAGAAAAAGAAGAGATAAGGACAGACATCATACAACAACACCACGATATCCGAATAGCAGGACATGGAGGAACGGCTAAAACCACGGAATTCATCATGAGGTCATTCTATTGGCAAGGACTACGCGAACATGTCAAACAATATGTCAAAAACTACGACATATGCCAAAAGACGAAAATGGCTAAACACGCACCATATGGATTACTAAAATCGAAGGAAATTCCCAAACGACCATGGGAAATAATTACTATAGATTTCATCACGGACCTACCAGCATCGGAAAATTGCAATAGCATCCTGGTCATGATGGATCGTCTAACCAAAATGAGTCATTTCATTCTGGTCAGGAAAGATATCGACACGAGGGATTTTATGCACCCATTCTTCCGAGAAGTCTTTCAACTTCATGGCCTCCCAAAGAATATCACTACTGATCGAGGAATACTATTCACATCGCGACTATAGAAGAAAGTAACTGAAGAAATGGTGATACAAAACAGAATGAGCACAGCGTTCTACCTACAAACGGATGGACAAACGGAACGGATAAATACGATACTCGAACAATATTTACAGGCCTACATCAATTATCAACAAGATGATTGCTACAAACTGTTATCAATGGCCGAATTCGCATACAACAATGGAAAGCAAGAAACGATTGGCACGACACCCTTCTTCGTGAATTATGGATAACATCCACAAAGTCAGACCACATATCATACGATTAATGGTATCATACCAGATAAGACAGATATGGGAAAACTACACAAGACATTACAATACAAAATGAGCCAAGCACATCAGTGACAAAAAGAACAATATGATAAGTACCGAAGACTGGATCCGAACATACAACCGGGAGATATGGTATGGCTAATACCACGCAATATCAATATGACGCGACTATCAAAGAAATTGGACTACAAGAAAACAGGACCATTCAGGATACTGGAAAGAGTGGACAGCCGAGCTTATAAACTCGACCTTCTATCCTCAATGCGAATACACAATACATTCCACATCTCACTCCTCGAATTACACAACGACAACAAGTTTCCCTCACAAACACTTATTCCTCCTCCTCTAATAGTACTCGACGGAGAACCAGAATACCAACTCCACGAAATAGTCTATTCTCACTTCTTCCACAGTCACCTCCAATATCAAGCCAAGTGGAGAGGATATTCACCCAAACACGATAAAACTTGGTATTTCACACACAACTTTGAATACACACAAGATGCCATCTCAACCTTCTACAAGTGATACTCAGGCAAGCTCGGCACAGGTAATGATCAAGTTCAACCGAGACAAAAGCGAGGGAAAGGCTCGCACGCCATTGCAACAACACAAGGGCTGGGACGATAGCCTCCACCAAACCACACCGACCAGCCCCAAATACTCATTCATGCGGCTAACCGATGAAGAACTCAGAGAATGGGAGAAACAAGCACAGCATAACACCATGTCATAGACGGTATGCTATGATGACAGTTACCAAACACATTTTGGCGACAAAGAAGGCTCGGGATGGTTCTCGAGGGAATGTCGAAAGTGTGGTCCATGCCCGGACCACGTCCTGAAGCATTAGCAACAATGCTTCAGAAATGGGTGCAGGATGCACAGGGTACAGAAAATCTCTGCGAGATTCTACCTGCAGAAGGATAGAAGCAGGAAAGAGTAGGAAGGAGAAGATGCCAGGAAGGCATGGGCTGTGAGGATGCGGTCCAGGGAGGGAGGGGCCCAAAACTCCTCAGCAGACACGGAACTGAATGTCAAGAGCCTACACAGGCAAATCCGGAAACTCCTAGGACAACTTGGCCAAGCCGAGGCCACAATTTTGGCAAACAACAAAACGATCGCGGAGCTACGACAGCTGAATGATAATCAGCAGCAGACGATCAAGATGGCGAATCTGACCCTAGAATCGGTAAGGGTCAGATGGAGGACAGCAGATGAAAAGTTCCACAAGCTGAGAAGGACCATACGCTCGGCAGGACGGGAACTATTGAAACTGGAAGAAAAAGCCTGATAGGACTCAGGCTTAGGAGGAGGAGAGCTAATGTCATGAACGTGGCTTGGCATGAAAAAAGGTTTCCACGTGACACATGGTTATGAGTCACAGGTATGTTATTGTTTCACACATATGACTCATTCGAGTCATATGATTTGTTATGTGTGGGATTTGTGATGCTTTCGCTCATGGCTCAAATATGAGTCATGGGACGTGCGCCTGGCGAGTGTGCCTTGCGGATAAGCCTTGCGCATATGATTTATGTTTCGCACATGACCTCATTATGAGGTAATGGGTTTCACACATATGACTCAGTCGAGTCATATGACTTGTTTATTGTGTTATGATTGGTTTATGAGTTTTTGCACATAACCTCACTATGAGGTCATGGGTTTTGAGCATGTGACCACTTTAGTCACATGACTAGTTTGTTATGATTTGGTTTCGCACATGTGACCACTTTGGGTCACATGACTATGAGCAGGAAGAACACTATATAAGGAGTCCGATGTGGCTGAGGAGAATAGGTTCTTCACGCTTTGTTCTAAGTACTTTTCCTACTTATTACTTTAACAAATATAAAACATCTTTACGATCTTTATCTTTATTGCAACGTTATCGTTATGCCAAGGAAAGCTCTTCACAAAGAAGAGTTAGAGAAAGCTTATGATAGGTGTTCCTGATAGAAGACAGAGGTCTTGTATTATCGGTAACGTAGGCAAAGGCCTAGTGCTATCGTAAGACAAGAAAGGAGAAGAAAGAGAAGAGAAGTATTGTTCCCCGTCACCAAGAACTAACCATCTGAGGAGGGATCGTTACATCAGTTATATTCATTGCATTTTCAAAGTGGTACCTTTTTCGTATAACTACACCCATATAATAATGTTTTTCATGAGAAATCCATTTATTAATAGTTCATCCTCACTGGCAGTTTTCCTACTACAAGCTATTTAACAATATAGATTCCCAATTTTGCACTGCAATTGTACAACTACACATACAAATTCGATTCACGCTAGTGGTATTTATTTATGAAAAACTCTCACAAGTAAATAAGCTAAGCATTGTGGGGAATTTTGTTTTTCTTAGGGTAAGTGTGTGTTTTGTGTAAATGCCATTCAAACAGACAGCCGGGAACCAATGGGAAGAAACGGAAGATGACTATTTCAGGTCTTAAACTGTTTTGAAATGGAACCATTTCTTATAGCTCTATTTTTGCCAAACAGGGCCTAAGTTATGTATCATACAAGTAGCCTTCCGCCGTTTCATCCTAGGGTTAGGGTTATCACCAGGAGTCATTTGGGCTCATGAGTCAACCCCACCACGGCAAGTATTATATTATCATACCAGTGCTGACCCCTCCATCCCTCGAAGGATCTTTACTCGCTCATCTCCATCTTGTCTAGCAGCTGTTGAGAGCACCATAGCTTTCTCCGATCTTTATAACTGCCATTAGTTGACCGCAATGGATTTCCCAAAAGAAGAGGAGAGGATCCTTGAGTTTTGGAGGGAGATTGATGCCTTCAGAACTTCCGTTAAGCTATCAGAAGGAAGGCCACCCTACTCGTTTTACGATGGCCCTCCATTCTGTACTGGGTATATTTCTTCATTCGCTGTTTTGCTTGTGCGATAAAGCTTACCAATTACGTTAAATCTAGTCTTCCACATTACGGTACCTGTTCTCTATAGCAACTCCCCCCGAGCATTTTTCCTAACCAGCACGTAGGACATCTCCTCGCGAGCACTATCAAAGATATCGTTCCTCGATACTGGCATATGAAAGGCCACTATGTCGAGCGGCGGTTTGGATGGGATACCCACGGCTTGCCAATTGAACACGAAATCGACAAAAGGCTTGGTATTACGTCGAAAGAGGATGTCCTTAAAATGGGAATGGAAAAATACAACGAGGAGTGCAAAGCTATCGTCATGAGATACTCTACCGAGTGGAGGCAAACCATTGACAGGTTAGGTCGGTGGATTGATTTCGACAACGATTACAAGGTTTGCGGGGACCTACAAAACAATGGTCACGCAGTTCGCTGATGAAAACACAGAGCATGTACCCAACATTTATGGAATCAATATGGTGGGTCTGTAAGCAACTCTTTGTGAAAGACCAGGTATATCTAGGATATAGGGTTATGCCATATTCTACCGCTTGCACAACACCCCTTTCGAATTTCGAAGCTCAGCAGAACTACAAAGATGTCCAGGACCCTGCGGTTGTAGTTACTTTCCCGCTTTTGGATGACCCGACTACAGAGCTACTTGCCTGGACGACGACTCCTTGGACTCTCCCTTCACATACCGGAATTGCGGTTCATCCGGATTTCGAGTACATCAAGATTAGTGATCGAGCTTCTGGCAGAAATTACATCCTTCTCGAGTCGTGTCTTAAGACATTATACGGAGAGAAGGGGTTGAAAAAGGCGAAATACACCATCTTGGAGAAGATCAAAGGGAAGGACATGCTAGGGTGGAAATATGAACCTCTGTTTGACTACTTTTACGAACAATTCAAGGATTACGGATTCAAGGTTTTGAACGCAACATATGTTACGTCAGATAGCGGAACAGGACTAGTACATCAGGCACCCGCTTTCGGCGAGGAGGACTACTCGGTCGCCATGGAAGCGGGCGTTATCAATGAGACAAGACCTCCTCCGAACCCTGTCAACGAGGCTGGTATTTTCACAAGTGAAGTCCGAGAATTTGCCGGACTTCATGTAAAGGTAAGGCTTGCACATAGCCCAGCATCTGAGGCTTTACTAACTTTATTTGAAGGCCGCAGATAAGGGGATCATCAAGCATCTCAAGGAAAAGAAGCGACTTATTGTAGACAGCCAAATTACCCATAGTTATCCTTTTTGTTGGCGTTCTGACACCCCCTTAATTTACCGTGCTGTACCTGCCTGGTTCGTCCGCATCCCTAATATCATTCCCAAGATGCTGGAAAACATCGAGGGCTCGCATTGGGTGCCGACAAACGTCAAAGAAAACAGATTCGGTAACTGGATTCAAAATGCAAGAGACTGGAACATCTCTCGTAACCGTTACTGGGGCACACCCATTCCTATCTGGATGTCTGATGACAAAGAAGAGATGGTGTGTATCGGAAGTGTCGAAGAATTGAGGGAACTCAGTGGCTGTGGGGAAATCCCGGATCTTCACAGGGATAAGATTGATCACATTACCATTCCCAGTAAGAAAGGGAAAGGTGTTCTGCGAAGAGTTGAGGAGGTTTTTGATTGTTGGTTTGAGTCAGGAAGCATGCCATATGCCAGTAGCCACTACCCGTTTGAGAACAAAGATCAGTTTGAAAAGGCTTTTCCAGCAGACTTCATTGCGGAGGGGTTGGATCAAACACGTGGCTGGTTTTATACTCTCCTTGTTCTCGGTACCCATCTCTTTGGCGTATCGCCGTTCCAGAATTGTATAGTCAATGGTATCGTGTTGGCTGAAGATGGCAAGAAGATGTCCAAACGTCTCAAGAATTACCCAGACCCGACACTGGTTATGGATAAGTATGGGTCAGACGCCCTCCGACTTTACCTTATCAATTCGCCTGTCGTCAGGGCTATGCCACTGAGATTTAAGGAAGTTGGTGTTAAAGACGTTGTTACCAAAGTCTTATTGCCACTATGGAATAGTTATAACTTCTTTGAGCAGCAGTCCCAGCTTCTGAAGAAGCTCGAAGGTGTTGACTTCATATTCAATCCCGAGTCAGGTGGGAGCAAGAACGTTATGGATAGGTGGATTCTAGCCAATTGCCAGAGCTATCTCAAATTCGTGAACCAAGAGATGAAGGGTGAGCCTCCCAGTTTTGGGGGTCATTTCACATGTTTTCTAACCATCTATCACAGGTTACCGACTTTACACTGTTGTTGGGAGAATGCTTGAGATGGTCGATAATACTACAAATTGGTATATCCGGTTCAACAGGAAGCGTCTCAAGGGCGAGTACGGAACAGAGGACACTTTGCATGCCTTGAATTCCCTCTTTGAGGTTCTTTTCACTCTTGTCCGCGGAATGGCTCCATTTGCACCGTTCCTCACAGACAACATCTACCACCGTCTCAAGCCCCACATCCCCGACTCCATGTTGCCTGAAGATGCACGAAGTGTGCATTTCTTAAGTTTCCCAGAGGTTCGGGAGGAGCTATTTGACGAGGAGGTTGAACGGAGATTCGGAAGGATGCAAAGGGTTATCGAACTAGCTCGTACATCGAGAGAGCGAAAGGCAATTGGGCTTAAGGTGAGTGGCAAGCAATTACCAATCCACAGTGTTTCCAACTAACGTTATTTTCGCTCCTGAAGACACCTTTGAAAACACTTGTTGTCATCCATCCCGACCAGACATATCTTGATGATGTCAAATCTCTAGAGTCTTATATTACCTCTGAGCTAAACGTCCGAGATTTGGTCCTCTCAGCAGACGAGGAGAAGTACGGCGTCCAGTACAAGGTCACCGCAGACTGGCCCGTTCTCGGAAAGAAGCTAAAGAAGGACCTCATTAAGGTCAAGAACGCACTTCCTTCCATTACCAGCGCGGAGGTCAAGGGGTTTGTCCAAGAAAAGAAGATTGTTGTTGGGGGCATCACACTTATCGAGGAGGACCTCGTCGTCAGTCGTGGCCTCAGCGGCTCCGACACATCTCAGGACTTCGAAACAAACACCGACAACGACGTCCTCACCATCCTGGACACAGTCCTCCACAAAGACCTCCGGAATGAAGGCCTTGCCAGAGAGATTGTCAACCGTGTACAGAGACTTAGGAAGAAGGCTGGCCTCCTTCCAACCGATGACATCAAGATGGAGTACAAGGTCCTTCAAGACCCGATCGGGCTAGAAGAGGTGTTCCTCGAGCACGCCGACACTTTTGAGAAAGCTCTTCGCAGACCCCTGGATAAGGCTACCATCACCCAAGTTGGCGAGGTCCAACCCGGGGAGAATCTAGATAAGATGATTCTGGAGGAAACTCAGGAGGTCGGGGAGGCTACCTTCATGCTTAGGTTGCTTAAGCTTTAGTTGCGCTGTGTGGGGCTGCTTGCACGAGGCACTTTTCTTTTACTTGTTTACTCTTTTACCCATTCTTCTATATAAGGTAGAACTGAGAAAATAAATATATACCTATGTCGAGTTTGGTGTAAGCTGTGGTATGTGGATTAATGTTAGTTCCAGAGATGGGCTCAGGAGCGTTCCTGCCCAATCTAAGTTACCACAGCTGGGTTGCTCACTCATCAATAACATACGGTAGATATTGTGTCTCATTCCCTCGTGTTTATAATTTCTAGAACTCAGCCATACCAACAAACCAAAACAGAGAAACTATCCAAGCCTAAATCTGAGAGCTTAGGTGCCCAAAGCAACATCACACAACTCCGGGCATTCTACCACATCAAACCCCACGCAATACAAAATTGCCAATTACCAACATATACCCTCGTCGGCGCATGCGCTCGTCCTACCAGGCTGGCTCCGAGTCTAGAGCGCATTATCCCCTGTTTGCTATTTCACCAGGGCAGAGCTTCCCTCAGCGTTAAGAGTTCTCACAGCCCTTCATAAAACCGGCTCCCCTTCCAACCCGCGCCGGAAGTCTTTCCCGCACTCCGTAATGTAATGCCGGTAGATAGGTTAAGTCTTCTGATTCCGCTTTCCCTTCTCTCCTCTTTTTTACCCTCTTCCTCTTCTTCCCTCCTTTTGCCTCCAGGTGTGTAGACACTTACACTACACCTCTATCCATTCCAGAATCAAGCTTCAAGTCATTCACCAATTCAAAAGTCTCACGAGTGACAGTTCATGATGATTTCGACACACTGGGATCATCCGTCTTCTCAAGGATCCGAAGCAGTAGCGCCCAGCCAATTAACCAATTCAAGGCTGGCGCAAGGCATCCGGTGAGCTTGCAAGTTGAAAGAAATTACTTTTTCACTACAATCGGGTACGACAAAAAAAAAAGACCAGATCGGGAGTGGAGGGAATTCATGACGCATAAGAGTGCTCTCGCAGTAACCATACCGATCCAGAGTACATTATGACAGAACATAAGGTGAGAAAGGTGTGTGGATGGCGTAGTATTGCCACCATCTAACTAAACTTGACCCTAAATAAATATCTAATCTTGACCTGCGAGACGTTGTAGACGATGTACTATACTTTGTTAGATCCCGCCCGTTAACATCCAAAGTGGAGATGAAAGGGGGACAAACCTCGTTGTATTCCAGCGACGACCAGCTATTACCCCCCTTCTTGACATTTCCAGTGACATTCGCCTCCTGCCCAGTGACCAGGGGCATCTGCACGCCACTCAAGTCCCTGTGCACAATGCCCGCATCCTCCCACTTTAGTGGCGCCGTGCAGCCAAGTCCCTTCGTAGCCAACCGACCGGTCTGCTTGCACTTTGTTGCAGCACGGTAATCCGCGTTCTCGCACTCGTACATAGGATCACCGAGCTGGGCTTCGCAGAGGAGGAGTAAACCAGTATTATCGGAGGCGGAAGCGCAGCAGTAGTTCGCGCTCTTGCTGACGATGTCGGCGAGGTAAATGCCTTTGTCGAACATGTATCCGTTGACGGGGGCCTCAGGCGGTGCGATACGCAGGCCTTGAGAGAGGATACCAGGGAAGTTGGTGGTGCGAGAGCCGTGCCAGAGGAGGCGACGGTCGGAGTTCGAGAGTTTGTCCCAGCCATCGGCGCGCCAGCGCTCTTCTTCAATCGCGCGGTGCACGCGGAAGATCTCCTCCACATGGAGTTTTTGGTAGTGCGTGTGACCATGCGTCTTCTTCACGTATGCTTCAAGGAAGTTGAATTCTTTGCTAGAGCGGTCGAGCGCGGTTGCCTCGTTGAGACCCAGGCTATCGAATTGCTTGTCGAGGATGTTCACGTCGGGTGACTTCTCAGCTTTGGTTTCCTTCAGCAGTTTCGTCGTGATGACCATATCTGCCAAGTTCTCCACGAGCGAGACTTCCCGTTTGAGAAGGTGGCCCGCGTTAATGATTGTGGGTCGTCCGCGTCCCGGGAAGACGTGGGGGATAATGGAATAGTAGCGGTTCGACAGGCGAGTCAAGATCTCGTTCTTGTCGCGACCGTATCCTGTATAGTCCCTTTGCCAGCCGGGTGCTTCTTCAATTACTTGGCCGAGGTCCTTGAGGACTTGGTAGCCTTGAAAGATAGTTGATTTTGAGAGTTTTCCTAGAGGAAGTTTTGCAGCATCATAGGACATGGAGGACATTGATTGTTGCCTTTTTGCATCAGATTAGCATCTGGACATAGGAGTAAGGGGGAGGGAACAAACATCAACTTCGTATCGAAGATCAAACCAATAAGATTCTGCAAAGCCTTGCTGAGCTTACTCTTAACTTCCTCCGCATCCTTCATCTCCTCATCCTGATCATCCTCATCCTCTTCGTAATTCCTCTCGAGAAAGGTATACTTTCCCGCACCACCCAAAGCCTCAGTGCGTCTTGCCCAGTCCTTTCCTGTCTTTGACTTGAACTTCTTTCCAAAGTGGGAGATGGCCGACGAGAGGCTTGTGTTCTGGATATACATCATTGACTGACCCCTATCTCCTACACGGCCCCAGTGAGCGAATACGGAGTATGTCTTGCTAGCATCGCTTTCGAGGAGTTGGAGGTAGTAGAATTTATTGTTGTTATTGCCGATATTAGCTTGGTTTAAGGTTGCGTCGTGGACTAGGCCATTGGTGTCGACGTAGACATGGACTTTCCCTGCTCGGAATTAGCATCTTGCGCACATTTACACTTCAGGAGAAGAGGGACATACCAGCAATGGGACACAATTCGTCAACTGGCGCCTTTCCCTTCTTAATAACAGTCTTCATCTTCTTAGCTTCTTCTTTCTCCTGCTCCTCTTCCTCTCCTTTGTCTTCCCCAGGCTCCTCCTTCCCCTTCCCCTTACCCTTCCCCTTCCTTTCACCATCTGGCATTGCCTTCGCCTTCTTAGCCGCCGGCTTCGCCTCTTCCTCGCTCTCTTCCTCGCCCGCAACTTTAGCTGAAGGAGGAGGGCCAGCAGCTTTCCCGCGAGTGCGCTTCTTGGACAATTCTTCCGGCTTAGCCTTGGCCGTTATGGGCGCCGCGACCGCCTTCACGACCGCCGGTGCGGCAACAGCAGACGAACCCGCAGCAGTGCTTCCATCACCGACCAAAAACCCCCTCTCATCACTCCTCTCCCCATTCTCAATGGACTCGAGTAACCAATCAATATTGACAATTTTCAGGCTATCAACTTCTTTCGCGGATTTGACTATCATATGGAATTGTTAGCCCCTGTAGAAACCGAGCAAGCAAGGAAGTTAGTCAGGCACCCTTAGCGCTTCCCTTGTCGAAGTCTACTTGTGTGGTTACGAGATGGGTAACATCTTCGTTGATCACCTTTGCAAAGGAACCGCCGTTGGTGAGGATTAGTTTTTCGAGCTTTGCTGTGGAGGTATTAGTATGCGATCACAGGGAATTGGAGGGTGGGGATTGCGGGTAGGTGGGTCATGATACCTTGCGCATAGCCTTTGTGTGTGCCGCTAACAGTGACGACGGTGTTGTTGAGTGCCATTGTGAAGGGTTATCCCTCAATGGTTCGTCGGTATGTATCTATGCGTGTGTGTGTGTATGTACAGTACGAAGGGAAGGGAAAGGAAGGTATAGTATCGTAGATGTCGGAGCTCCCGGTGAAGCCAGGTCCAATCGCCCCTCAACTCAAAGTCCGTAGAGAGACAGCTTGAAGCGAAATATATTGAAAAATAATCAGAAAAAAAAAGATAAACTCTAAAGTGCACAAAAGCTCACAGCTTCTTCAATGAAGAAGGAAAGAAAAGAAAAAATGAATCTGCCACGAACGAGCTCAACCTTTTAAACCCCGCTTCGCGTCCACCAACACGTCACAAACACGCTCTCAGGTGTGTGGTAAGAGTCATACTGTATCATAAATGGTTGAGGCTGAGCACAGTACTCGTACTACTGTATACAAGTAATTTACAGCACAAAAGTTTCCTTCCCCTACCTGGTTCGTGCGTTTGTGACTCACGACCAAATACCCAGCAACGTGGACTTTTTTCCGCGATGGTGCAGGACCTCCCCACTCAAATCCAATGCCGGCACACTACGAGTACTCGAGTGCAGTACTCGAAGGCTGGAATGGGATGGTGAGGTGCTTTACTCGAGTACCGGTACTAATATAGGGTCAGCGTTCGCCACGATGATTGGACACTCGAACGAACCCTTGCTGCACAGGGCAGTGTCACAGTGACGGCGTCATGACCTGCACTTTTTTAAGAATGGGACATGAAAGGCTCAGTGCCACTGTGACTCTCTTTTCTTCCTTTGTGATTGTGGACTGGCGGACTAATGGACTGTACTATTTCCGCGTGATTGTGTTCGGGCCTTTGAGGGTACGATACGTTACAGGTTTACCATAAAACGGAAGGGGGGAGAGAGATGTCAGTGGTAGTTAGCTCTTTAATCTATGTATGATACTGCGGATGTTATGATTCCTCTAGAAGCGGAGGAGAGCCTTTTACCCATATGAAGTGAATTTATGACGGGCCACGATACAGCACTTTGCACCGGGCTCAATGCTCGAGTAGTGATTGTATGACAAGTGTAAATATAATGATCATGGGCATACGGTATTCACAAGACCGGTGCAATTGATCGATGAATTGAAGCATTGTCTAGATATAGTGAACAGAGAGGAAGCAACAATCTTATGAAGTAAATATATCCTTTCTGTATAACTTACTCATCCACCCTGTGAGCAAGAGGTACTGTGCCGTATTAACCATTGTTTATATTGTCTGACATGCATATCAGATTCATTGAGGAAAACCAGCGGACCCAGTTCCCATTTCTCTAACCTCGAATGGACTACAGTACCAGAAGTCTCAAAGGTATCGATTTTGCCTGTTCGCTTGATGTCGGATATAATAATTTTTTTCCAACTACTATATTTTTTGTATAATATTATGAAAACCGCAGCTATCGCCGGGTTGACCTCTCACGAACCAAGCAATTAAACCTGTCCCAATGATGCCATCTCATCTCAGCGATGTACATGCTTTCGCTTTTTCCGCATGTATGTAAACATTCCCTTTGGGCTTCTCCCATTGCTTCTATTATCTTCCAAGGCCGTCAGTAACTGTGCTACCACTTTTAGGCTTTTCGGCGAACAGTACAGTACCATATCCCAAGCCCGTGGACTTCGCAATACTGTATAAGCACTGTACCTTCACACTAGCGAATAACTGACTAGTGGGCGCAGGAGGGCCAACTACTTGTATTTTCGGTGGAGTACTGTACGGTACCGGCACTGGCTTCCAACTGAGTCTGAGGAGTCTGAGTATACTGAATGATATTTTTCTTTCCGCTTGATTGTTTGATTGTCGTTTCTATTATAAGCCGATGATATTTTGCGTCGGATATTTATGTCCTTGCTAGAACTAAAGCGTTCGGAGTCTTAAACCTCAGACAACGATGTACAAGTACTTTACCAGTACCAGTAAATTCATTTGCTCCAGTTCCCCCTCACGATAGACCCCGGTATAATGCAACAATGGCATCCCTAATATTCAGATGTGGTTCGCTATGCTTAAACCAGTCATCCCACCTTCCTCCCTTTCATCCTAACTAAGTACTAGAACTAACCAACGCCCACCAGCTTCGGCAAGCACAGATCCAATCGGGAAAAGGATGAGGTGAATTGGTGGGCGCTGGCTTTGGTTGGGGGGAAATGATTATGATGAGGTTTTTATAGCCTTGGAGTGCCGGCCGGTGCTGGCTTGGGGTTCTGGTGAAGGAGAATAAGTTCACCGTTATTGGGGAGACGGGGGGACGGGGAGAAACGTTGGGATATTGGGTAGTTGGGTTTACGGTCTGGTCGTTTTGCCCGTGTACGAATATGATACATAAAAATCACTCATCTTATCTAAAGCCAAACATTCATCACTTGAGATCATTTTCATATCGTTAATCGCTACAACTAGAGAAATAACAAGATGCCTCCCAACGTTCACAATTGGTGTGTACGCCTGTCATGGCTTTCAGGGCGAATTAATAGCCTGTACAGCAATTAGCGTCGGAAATGATGCAATCCAAGTGGGGACAAAACTTACCGCTCTGCTCGCGCCTATTGTCTCCACCACCATCCGACCCATTGTCGTTACCACCATGAATAGGGGCCTCACCCCTCAACTCTGCAAAGTAGTTCCTGACTGCCTCAGTACTGACGGGTTGTTTGTTATCTGCAAAAGGCTTGAGGAAATTCTTGACTTCAGCTTTGAGCTTATTGTATGCAAGCACCCCGTTTATAGCGGTGACTCGATCAACCGACACAAGCGCCTTCTCTCCAAGGTCCAATAGGGAACCGCCGGAACGAACACTCTGATTATCATCATCATCAAGGGGTGGCTCATAGGTCTCTTCTTCTTCCAAAAGGATAGGGTGCTGCGAGAGCCGTGGAAGACAAGAGGCGCAACGACATAGATAACCACGGAAGTCTTCTTTGAGAAATATCGAAAAGGGCTTTGTGGTTGGCTGCGGAGGTGGAAGAGTCTCGTAGCTACACGGCTTTGCTTCTGGCTCCGTTGGAGTAGATATGGGCTCCGCGTTGGAATTGAAACCGGTCAAGACTTTGGAGGCCTCCGGAGTTTTCGCCCTCTTGAAATCCTTCCGGATAGCCTCTCCGTCACCATCGTCAACATTCCTCTTTTTCGTGTTGCTGGTTTCAACTCCAGTACCATTAGCAGTTTTCTTCCCGTCAGAGCTCTGGATGTCTGAATTGGCTTGTAGTGGGAATCCTTGTTTATATACCGCACCCAAAAACCCAGGGGTACCAGCGTATCGTCCCAACCAAGGATTCTTTTCGACACACAGCCAACAGATAAAGTGTTCGAACTCTTCTGTTGGAAATCCTTCGGGCGAGTCGTCGTCCTCGGCCTCCTCATGATTATAGCCCTCTGGCTGCCCTTCACCTTCACCGTTCACTCCCACCTCTCCTACCACCTTAGTCTCTGGATCCATTGTAGCGTCCTCGCTCACTTTCAGCAGCCCCATAATACACCTATCATGGAACCAGTCCTCCCCACAAACATCGCCGAGCAAACACTGGTACATGGTGCCCCGCTCGCTATGAGGATCGTAATCCTCATCGCAAGCACAAAACTTCCCCCAGAAGTTATGGCAGTACATATTTCCCACCTTCCCCTCGGGTAAATCTATCCTTTCTCCTTTGACCTTGCGAAGCGTACACTCGGCCGCAATTTTTTCGGTCCCGCAATCACAAACAATATTTCGCTTATTGAAGATCTCGACCAATTCGTGATCGCCATGACAAGAGATCGAGCAACTGTAGCAGATAGCGGCTGCGCCAGTGGAAACAATATTTGTGAAGCTGGGAGCGGAAACGGTATTGGGATGACAGGTTTTACAGGAGAACACTGGCTGACGAAGCGGACCGAGGGGATTTGTGCAAACGTCGAAGGAGTAGGGCATTGCCTCTCTTGCGTCAAGCTCGAGCTGTAATTGAGAATCTATATAGCTGTGTGGAGTTAGTTTGATTGTATCTGATGAGAGCTCTCTCAGGAAAGGGATAGCTACTCTTGAGCCGTAACGGAGTCTTGGGAAGAGGAATCTGGAGCGTCCCTCGGCGGGCTATGAGAAGTGGGTGAAGACATGGCGGTAAATTTTTGGCGCGACCGCTGCGAGAGCTGAATGTTGGTGCTTGCAGTAAAACACCCGACAGCGAGCAGCTGTCTATTGTTTGTGAGAGTAGACTACTCGAGTACAGTAAGGTTAACAATAATATAGAAAGATTGTTTGTGGGTTACCATGCCGTCTGCCGTCAAACAAGGGCTCCCATCTTAAAACGCGAGGAAACGCCTCCAAACTCCAACGCCGGGTAACGACCACTTTCACGCTTTAAATTACTGAAGCTCTCCAGCGGCAACTCCCGTCCAAGATCACCACCACCTTTCCTTCGCCGATTTACCATGGGAAAGGAAGACTACATATCCACCGGTGGGAGTCTGAAGCTCAAAGGAACTAAAGACGGCGGTATCAAAAAGAAGAAGAAGAAGAAGCCTGCAACCCCGGATCCAACATCAGAACTAAAATCACGCACGGCTTCCGCCAAAGCCACGAGTGCCGATGGACTAGAAGAGCGTGAGGAGGAGGAGAGGGAGGAACCGGAGGATCCCTACGCTGGAAAGACTGAGGCCGAGAGGCGGTTCGAGGAGAGGAAGCGAAAGAGGGTATGTGTTTATTTGGAGTTTGACAACCGGATGAAAGCTTATGCATTATAGATGGACGAGAGACTCAAGAAGGAGGGAATCAAAAGTCACAAGGAGCGTGTTGAGGAGTTTAACAAGTATTTGAGTAATCTCAGTGAGCACCACGACATGTTAGTCCTCACAATCCCCCGGCTAGATTCCCGATATAACCTAACATTCTGCATAGGCCCCGTATCGGACCAGGCTAACATCTCTTGTGGGAAATCTGGGTGCTCGATTGGTCTCGGTGTTTTTCATTATCTGTATGATATCACTTCACTTTGGCTCTCTAATAACAAAGTCATTCTCGAACCATTGTATTCACACGCTGGTGCATCTTACGACGAAATTACTTGGGGAGGTTGTGCAAAATGATCAATTCTGGCGTTTGACATAATTGATCCCCATCGCACTCGAGTAAATCTAGGGCACTTGGGTTTCCTTCTCTCTCTTTTTTCTTTTTTGATGAGCCAAATACTATTAAAGTACACCTGAAACCTTGGTATGGAGCGGAACCAAACACCTCGTGACTCGCGCCAACATTTTCACCCCCAGGAACTTGAAAAAAATATTTCTAAGCAGCAACCCTAGCCCTTCTCCCTGCTCCAGTGGTTGGCCCCCTTGGACCTCCCCCAGGCAAGGTGTACTTCGCAAATGCTCTCGCAAGACTCTTCTTAACAGAGACCTTTTGCGCACCAACAAAGCTGTCAACCGTAACAGCAATGGCAAGGTCGATATCTTTTGAGTGGACGTATTCACTTAGCCTCATTTTCGCGAAGGCTTCCGATAGCCGGATAATGCTTTCCAGATGTCTCACAGTGATCGGGAAGCTCCCTGTTGCAAGGGACTCACGACGCATCTCCACAAACAACCGAGAGACCTTATCTTGATCCATCTGATGTAACTGGGGAGAACAGTGTTCTCGGGCGTAAAGAATGTATTTCCGGAGTAACTCCTGCGGGATCGGGGAGTTTGTGTTTCTGTCACTGCTAGCTGCGGGAGTGGCGGAACTATTTCCCACTGGATGGGAGCGGCCATGAGACTCGACAACGAACTTTGCAAGGAGCTCATCAACCTCGGGGTCAACTGTATCGCGTACGACGCAGAGCACATCGAAACGAGATAGGATGGGCTCTGTTAGTTCAACGTTTTGAGCGAAGGGGATAGTCGAATTGTATCGTCCCCCTATCGGATTCGCCGCTGCGATGATCGCACAACGTGCCTGCAGCGTAGTGACAATACCAGCTTTGGAGATAGATATAGATTGCTGTTCCATGGCTTCGTGGATAGAGGTTCTGGAACATATCATTAGTCATACACATTGAGCCGGAATGGCGGGATCACGAAATCGCATGCACACCTGTCTTTGTCATTCATCTTGTCAAACTCATCAATCAAGCAGGTTCCCTTGTCAGCTAAGACAAGAGCACCACCCTCCAATGTCCATTCCGACGTCATGGGATCTCTTCGTACACTTGCTGTCAAACCAACAGCACTTGCGCCTTGGCCAGTGGCAAAAACTGCTCTATGGGCCGTCTTCTCAACGTACTTTAGAACTTGCGATTTGGCGGTACCAGGATCACCGAGCAAGAGAACGTTGATATCACCACGTATTTGATGCTTTCCATTGATGTTCTTTCCAACACCCCCAAACAGTGAGCAGGCGACAGCGGTCTTAATGTCGCGGTGGCCATAGATGCTTGGCGCCATGGAGTCAATTATCTTGTCTACAACCTTCTCATCCCTTGCAAGCGTACGGATAGCCTTTTCGTCTTCCTCGGTCAATCTGAAACCGGCGAGCTCGTCATGGCTTTTGACAACATTATTGGCCTCCAACACAGTAGCGAAGACAGGGAACCCATTTTTCTGGTTGAGTTGTACGTCGTAATTATTTCTGTAGATTCCGGTGACCTCTACCTCTTCCCCCGGCTTGGCTGTGTCAATTAAGTCCCAGAGTAAAATGACTTCTCTATGTCTTGGGAGTCTCCCTGCCGGCACAGTTCCTGGCGACTCTTGTAAAGTCATCTTTTGGTAATTCCTGTAGATTGTCTTTTCAGAGTTTAGGGAGAACGGTCCACGGGACTGGCAGTTTTGGCAGTATGAAATCTTAACCTCAACATTTGAATCCTGTTGGAAGGGGCCAAGGGTGGTACCACACTTGGCACAGTCAAACTTGACGTATTTGAGTTGCGGGAAAACACCTGTACGTCGCGTAACCACACCGCGCACGCGCACGAGAGCATTGAGATGGGACTGGCGCAGCTCACGGAGAGTGTAGGATGTTGGCACATCGGCAACACGAACGTGAATCTCGGAATGAATTCGCTCATAGTCCTGATAGTGAAGGAGGGTGGCTTCAAGAGCGACTTGATCAAAGATTTTCAATGTCTCAGTCGGAGCGTTTGCTAAGAACAAGGCAAGCGTAGCCTTGGACTCTGCAAGATGCTGGAATGAGATCTCTAAGGATTCGGAATTGATTTCACCAAGAGTCCTGATACGGTTACCGTACACAGAAGAGCCGACATCATCCGTATATTCAAGCAAGAAATTCTTGAAATGCACAGCCACACTGCGGTATATATTTGGAACCGTGAGCCAATCGGCAATACTGGAAGCTTTAATGTCACCGAGTTGTTCCAATGAGAGCTCCTCATCCATCACATTGTCCATATCATCCTGGGGATCCTCATCGAAATGATGCCTACGGCGGCGAACTTGATTAGATAGATCCATCTCATCGTCTTCCTCGTCAATACTGTAGAAGGCACTAGGCATGCGTCGGGCCATATTATCTCGCATATCCATTTGTTTGTTAAGCCGGCGTACTTCAGCGGCGCTGAGTTCATCATATTCGCCTTCATCATCGATGTTGGTGGTTTCGTATTGATCCAGAACGAGGTTTTGGGTGTAGTCCCTGCGAAATATCTCATTAGCCAGTATTCTGTATCTTTATAAGGCTTAGATTACCGCTCCATATCCTGCATTAGATCCTCACCATCCATTTCTTCCTCCATATCCTCCAGGTCTTGGATCTTTACATTTACTTCAGTCACAATTCGCAATCTCGAATATTGATCCTACATACCCCATCATGCTCGTCGAGTTCATCATCGTCATCATCATCCATAAGTGGGGGGGAGGAACGGAAGCCGGGTGTCGAGGGTAAGAAGCCACCGGGAGCTGGGAGGAGGCAAACATAAGTTAGCAAACTCTTGGACGCAAAACTTTGAGCGCTAGAAACGGCTTCATAGCCTTCGAATAGTAAATGCGGTAGAAATAAAATAAGGGGTTGGTAAGAGATAAACAAGAGATAATGTACTAACGGCTTGAAGGAACCCCATTATCTCCCATCTCTTCATCATCATCTTCTAAGCCACGTTTTCTGGGGTTGACTTCTGGAGGAGGAGAAGACTGCGGGGCTGGGGACGACATTGTCTTTCACAGTGAGGAGTGAAAGAGGCAAAGATGCAATTCCAATGCTGAAATTACTAGGGTTGTAGGTTTGAAGGCACTCAACTATCAAAGAACCGGTTTGTTGATAATAAAGCGTAGAGTTTTTGGTGGAGGTCAGAGGAGTGCAGGATTCAGGTGATACGATAGGGGCCCCACGATGGGAGTTGGAGTTCGCGAAAGAAAAAACAAATGCTGGTATTCTACCTTGCAACCAGGATGACCAGAGACGCGCCAAAGCACACTTCTAATTTGGGCAAGGTGTCTAATATTGCCAAGACACAAGATCTCTAATTCGTTGGTGGGGCTCTGTTCTCCGGGCAGCTTGCTCAACCCTTCTTTGTTCGGCAGGGGTATCATACCGGTATCATATCATATCTCCAGCATTCATTCGTCTTAATCATAGACTACTTTCACTCCAACCTCCTACTCGCGCAAGACCCTTTTTATCCCACACCCCTACTCCCTCCGGACTTGAAGCACACATCTCTTTTGTATGGTTGGGTTTATAGCTTCTTTACGAATGATACTCTCCACCACCACCACACCGTTTGTGTGAACTCTGGGTTCCACTTCGCTCCCCTCCAATGCCAGGCTACTTTTATCATTTGTTCTTTGATCTTTTTCCTCCTACCTTCCCAGCCGTTAGATCACTTCCTGATCTCAAACATCTTTCTGACTCTCAGTTATCGCAACTCTCGGCTTGGATACCACCTCCGGGGACGAGCATCTTTGATACCATCCTACCCTCCCACACAGCGTCGCATACTCCACCCTTTCACGAACTCGAGGAGCTTGCTACAGACAGAAAGGGGATAAAGAAGAGCAAAGCCCGGGAATCCCCTACCTTTGGTTCGGAAGCCTTTACTACACATTTGCCCCATCTCGACTGGCGTTTCGGCCGTGTATCGGTTGAGTCTATAGATATGGCTCTTGAGGACCGTTTGGTGGTTCACAGGAACTCTTCGGGCATGGAGGGGTCTAAAAATGGCGAAAGACGACCCTCACGAGCCTCAGAATCCTTTACCGGAGGTGCTGCCTCAAAGGCTCAGTTCATCCCCTTAGAAATGAAAAACACTGAGTTTGGCTATGGAGTTGTTCATCTCTATCGCGATGTCTTCGAAACTCCTGGACTCTATCCTCTATCATCCAATGTTGAAACAGTTAACAAGGTTCCGGGAAATCTTCATGGCGAAATCGATGAGGCTTTAACCACCATAGCTGTCCTCGCAGTTCCTTCCTATATGACCGCATCAGACTTTATGGGGTTTGTGGGGGAAGAAACTCGTGACGCGGTTAGCCATTTTAGAATGATCAGGACGGGTCAGGCAAATAGATATATGGTTCTCATGAAGTTTAGACGACAGGAAGCTGCTAGGGGATTTGTGGGCAGCTTTAATGGAAAAGTGTTCAACAGTATGGAGGTATGTTAAGAGTCATGAGGGAGGCGTCCCAACACTTATGGAAGGCTACGTACTAAAATATGTCAATAGCCGGAAAATTGCCACGTCGTTTTCGTGAAATCAATTCAATTTCAACCCCCTACACCAGAGGACTCTTCTGTCATTTCTCCTGAGCCTTCCACGGATCCATTTTCTGCCTCTCACTATCCCACATCTCCGATATCTACTGCCACTTCTGTAGCAGCATCGTCATCTTCTGTGCCCGTGGCAACCAATCTATCGACAAAACCAGCGCCACCCCCGACCCCGTCGCTTTTAGAGTTGCCAACATGCCCAGTGTGTCTGGAGCGTATGGACGAGACCACTGGACTATTGACCATTCTGTGCCAGCACGTCTTCCACTGCGCCTGTCTCAGTAAATGGAAGGATAGCAGTTGCCCAGTTTGTCGTTATACACAGAGCGATGGTTTCCGCGAGAGGGAAACAGGGAGTAGTGATGAAGATGAGTACTGCGAGGTTTGTGGAGCTAACAGCAACCTATGGATCTGGTATTTATCAAACCCTACCTCCCATGTCTCCGCCCATAGGAATTAACATCCTCTCTTCCTAGTCTTATATGCGGAAACGTTGGTTGTGGTCGCTATGATGAGGCGCATGCGTTCGAGCATTACAAAGATACCTCACATTGTTATGCCATGGATATCGAGACACAACGTGTCTGGGACTATGCAGGCGATGGATATGTCCATAGATTAATCCAAAACAAGTCGGATGGGAAGTTAGTTGAATTGCCATCAACGTTGTCGGATTCCCGAAACCCTGAACGTCACACCGATGGAGATTGTGTTCCCCGTGAGAAACTAGATAACATCGGTATGGAATATACTTACCTTCTCACGAGTCAGCTCGATAGTCAGCGGCTTTATTTTGAGGAAAAGGTCACACAAGCGGCAGACAAGGCTTCAAAAGCCACTCATGCCGCAGAGAAAGCAACCGTGGAGTCCCGAGAATTGATGAAGGAAATGAAGGGGCTCCGTAGCAAATTTGTCGAGCTAAACACGGAAGTGTTGCCCACCTTAGAAAAGGCCAAGGAGCGAGCCGAGAGGAAGGCCGAGAAATGGGCAGACATGGCCAGAAGGATGGAAAAGGAGTGGAAGGAGGAGAAGGGCGTCAATAACGGTTTGATGGAACGGATCGAATTTCTAACGAAAGATTCAGAGTTGAGGAGGAAAGAAAATGAAGACCTCAAGGAACAGATACGCGACTTGATGTTTTTCGTTGAGGCCAGGGAAAAGATTAAGGACAAAGGGGAGGAGGTTATGGAGGGCACTGTTACAGTTGGCGATGCGCCTCCACCGCCACAGCCAAAGAGAGGGAGGAAAGGAAAGGGAAAGAGATAGGCAATTTAGCATGCTGCTCGAGTACTTCCATTGAGTTTCGTACGCAGCTGGTGGCTCACGTGGGATTGTGTTAGCAAGTACCGGTATTGTTGGTTGATTATGGCGTTGTGAAGGTGCTAAAATCGCAAAACACGAGTTGTACTGTACGAGTACCGGTAGTTATTCCAGGTTAGCATACTGGTGTCGGTAGTCTGTGCAAGTGAAAGCCAACGTACCCGCAGTGCATCTGGTTGATACAGATACTAGGGGTTTTCAAAGTTAAAATGATGGTTGAAGGTAAAATGATCGACACACAGTAGTGCATTAGTATATATTAGTGCGCATTAGTGTATATATCAATTGTGGCCAATTGTATCCAAGAATTTTAAGTAATAAATTTGAAGCTCCTGAAAATGAGGTAAGTTGAGCTCAGTAGGGTTTCAGTTGTAGAGTAAGAGGAAAAATTTTCCTCACTTGTGTTATAATAGAAACAACGATTTCCTTCTTTACAATAATGGCCGAAGAGCAACAAATGGGTGGCAGATTCTCCAGATTGGAAAGAAGGCTCCATAGTGCTGCTGAATTATTTCAGGCAGCAAAGCAGGAGTGGGATTTGATTCCCCAAGAGACATTGGATGCTTGGATAGAAAGAATGCCTGAGAGAATTCAGGCTGTTTTGGATGCAGATGGAGGTCATACAAAATGGTAATTGGATTTCTTTGAAGCTTAGATCATGTACTTTCATCTATTCCTTAATTGGCTTTGTATCTTGATTTTTTGTATGGTTGAATTCATTAAGCGTTGTGGTTGTGGTTGCCGGGCAGGGGTATAATTATTAAACGGACACGACTGTACTTGTACGTTTTGTACTGAAGGCCTATATAAAATTAGAAGTATCTTTTGCCCACAGTCATTATTAATTCTTATCCCCGGCATTATTCCATGGACATTAACTAACGGAGCTTACCACCGATGAATGATAAACATCTAGACTGCTCTAAAGGTTCTAGCATATTTTGAATTTTTTCGCAAAGCGACAAAGCTGAGATTTTGCAAGGTGAAAATGCCTATTTTTGGTGTAAAGTGGGGGGGGGGATGCGAATGAATTTTGTTGCCAAGATCGTACTTTTCGGTATCAATTGTTGAAATGGTGTTCTGATACCCCTATTTTGTCCTTTGTAATACTGGTATGATAAGTTCAGTACCCATGAACAGGCGTCATGAATTTGTGCTCGAGTATGGGTGATCAGATATGCATAAAATTTTCGTAATATATTTTGCGAACCTTGTCCGGGACAAGTACTCGTACTCCGGTACTTTGTACCCGGGTATGGATGTTACCGGTAGTGATGAGACGGGCAGGATACGGGTGGTCCAAGAACATATCTGTTTGTAGCAATAATTTCAGTAAAGCGGCGCGATCTACGCTGATAAGATGCCCTGATGGCACCAACCTGAGTTCTCGTTGCCTCACAGATTCCCGCCCTTGGCCACCCGTGCCCCTGTGGGTTCTAGACCTAGGTGCATCGCCAATGCTAGGCTTATTTCTTTTGTAAAATATAATATGATAATAATAATTATTATCATAAATATTATGATGGCTCCAGGTGACGTTGGGTCCCATATCAGAGTTTAATTGTTTAAACCAGTCTGTTTTGTCAATAGAGCATGGCATTTTGTTGACATGAGAGTATAGATAGTGGGATAAATATAGATGTGAATGGAAAGAGTGTTGAAACAGTGAGAACGCAATGATGGTTTTGGAACTGGTTGAGTGACGAGAAGAATAATGAATTGCTTAATTGACTTCTCAGTAGAGAGCAAACTACCCAGACTATCTACTGTTGAGAGCAAGACACAAGTTGCGAGTAAATCAACAGTAGGAAGTAAACAGAAACAGAGAGAAGAAAAGAAAGGCAAGGAGGTATGTTCAATAGTACCAATATTGTAAGGGGGTTTTGAGATGGCGATCAAGACTAATGCAAGGAGAAAATCAATAGTGCGAGTGATACTACGGTAGTGCCAGAAGCATATTTCAACAAAGAGCACTCTCAAGTTGCGAGTGATTCTTCATGCCCGGAGTATGTCTACCGGTGGCACATTGGGCAGGCGGAAGCTGCGTTGAACCAGGAGGTTGCAGGATTACTATCATATGTTCCGCAACATGATCGCCGGGGTACAGGTCCCCGGGTTTCTGGAGTTCAACTTCCTGGTACCTAAATAGCAAAGATGGTAGATGGGTACCGTGAAAGCCCGTAGCTATTGTCTGCTGGTCTTTTAGATGTTCTTACCGCTCTATCCGCCTGCATCAAATGGTTAAATGATAGTTAGAAGAGTTCCTACCGACAATCAAGCGTAGAAAGGTCTAAATCACCAAGACTCCGGACCCGAGTGCTACGCAAAACACACCATCCGTGGATCTTCCGGAAACCCTACTATAGCGACAAACACCGCGCGAAGGTTCAGAATACAGCTTCTGCATGTGGGATTGATATTCGGTTGTGGCTCGGTGTTTTTCACTATGGCGGGAACTGTGGGAACAGGTCTTGCAAATCTAAACCAAACATTGGCAATGCGGCCGGAGGCTGTTACCGATATTCGGCAATGGATATTCAAGGTACTGAACGGCGATTGCAAAGAAGCAAAGCTTATTGGCCCCAAGAAAAGATTAGTGAGTTTATCGTTGTTTGGTGGGGTGAGTAGTTGCTGCTCTGCTGACTCGGTGTCATTCTGCTGCTTGCTCTTCGAGACTACCAGTACGATGACGGGTGGTTACTCTTGAGGATGGGTTACGAGGATTGGCTATGAGGGACAGTGGGAACGGTGAAATTAACAAAGGGAGCGTTTACATTTACAAGTACCCTACTCGTAGTTGAATGATGATTGTGAACACAACTGCTATTGCATACCGCCAAATTCAGCATTTTTTGCCTGGATCTTGGTATCATGCAATAATGGCCGTACTCACAATTACGAGAACCGGAGTACCGGCAGTGTAAAGGGACGAGAAAAAAGAAAAAAAGAGGGGAGATGTGCTTGGACCCTTACTGATATTGGATTGGTCACCTTGGCGGCGGGATGAGGGTCGGAAGCACTGTACGAGCACTGTACCCCGCTAGGGTGAATCCGAGAACTACTTTATCAGTCCACCTTCCCCCCGCAACTTTTTTTCTTTTCTTCTCGCTCCTCAGTCTGCTCGCCATTCTCCTCACCAGTCCTCCATTCCAACCTCTTTCCATTGCGGGCTCTTTAAAAATATCCTCCATCACTACTCAATTCAAAATTTCTATTCTAAAACAACTAGTTCATCCAATACTCATTCACAATGGTTACCTCGTAAGTTTTCACCAAAGGAGAAATTTTTTCCAGATGATGAAATATCCATCTTAGCTCTTGCCTTGATAGCAATTGACTGATATTCAATTGAAACTTTTAGTTCCGTTCTCGGGTTCCCTCGTATGGGAGGTTTGTTCATTCTATAGTTCCTATTCGTTATTTTTATGGGGCATTGTATCTGATTCCCCTCTAGGGAATCGTGAGCTTAAGAAGGCGACTGAGGCATACTGGGCTGGCAAGATCTCTGCCGAGGAGCTCATTCAAACCGGAAAGAACCTCCGTGCCTCTCACTGGAAGATCCAGAAGGATGCTGGTGCTGGGACTATTGCCAGCAATGATTTCTCTTTCTACGATCATGTCTTGGACCATATTCAGCTATTCAATGTTTGTGCCCGCAGCACCATTTACCGTGCAATTCCTGCGCTGACATTTCATAGGCTGTCCCAAATAGATACAGGAAATATAACCTTCCTGCTCTTGACGAGTTCTTTGCCATGGGCAGAGGTCTTCAGAGGGCTGCTACTGAATCGAGTCCTGCTGTCGATGTTCCCTCTTTGGTTAGTATCCTATCTAGTACCGGTGTTGTAATTGCCATAATGTTGTTATGCCCACAATTGGGGGGACATTGGAGCACTGGGCTTGGATATTTCAATTTGGCAGGAGAGGGCTATTGCTAACAATTGCTATAGGAAATGGTAAAATGGTTTGACTCGAACTACCACTATGTCCGCCCTACTCTCCAAGACAACCAGACTTTCTCCCTTGCCGCTGATCCCAAGCCAGTCCGTGAATTTCTCGAAGCCAAGGCCCAGGGCGTCAATACCCGCCCAGTCCTTGTTGGTCCGGTCTCCTTCCTCCACCTAGGCAAGCCAGACCGTGGTGCATCTGTCAACCCAATCACCCTCCTTGAAAACCTCCTCCCTGTCTACATTGAACTCTTAACCAAGCTCAGGGAGGTTGGTGCCGAGACTGTTCAGATTGACGAACCCATTCTCGTTCTTGACTTGCCCCCTAGGACTAAGGCTGCTTTCAAGACTGCCTATGCTAGGATTGCCGCCGCTGGAGTTTCGATCCCCAAGATTACTGTTGCTACCTACTTTGGCGACATTGTCCACAACATTGACGTCCTCTCCAGCTTGAGTGCCGTCTCTGCCGTTCATGTTGACCTTGTCCGCAACCCCGAGCAACTCGACACCGTCACTGCCGCTCTTGCTCCCGGCCAGATCCTATCTGCTGGCGTTGTCAACGGACGAAACATCTGGAAGACCGACTTTGGGGAAGCCATTGCCATCGTTCAAAAGGCAGTCAATGCTTTGGGGGCCGATAGGGTCGTTGTTGCTACTTCGTCTTCTCTTCTACACACTCCTCACACTCTTGCTAGTGAGAAGAACCTCCCCGCTGAGGTTGCCGACTGGTTCTCGTTCGCCTCTGAGAAAGCTAGGGAGGTTGCTGTCATTGCCAGAGCTGTTACTGAAGGGGCCGCATCTGTTAAGGCCGAGCTCGATGCCAACGCTGCTTCCATGCACTCCCGTTCTACCTCGGCACGCACAAATGACCCTGCTGTTAAGGAGCGTCAGTCAAAGGTTACCGCAGCCATGTACGAGCGCCAATCTTCATTCACTCAACGTATCGCGGCTCAGCAAACACATTTGAGTCTTCCATTGTTCCCCACCACTACCATTGGGTCTTTCCCCCAGACCAAGGGGATTCGTGTCGCTAGACAGAAGTTCGGTAAGGGTGACATCTCTGCGGCTGAGTATGAGAGCTTCATCGAAAAGGAGATCGAACTTGTTGTGAGAGAACAAGAGGCCCTCGGCCTTGATGTTCTCGTCCACGGAGAGCCGGAACGTAACGACATGGTTCAATATTTTGGAGAGAGGCTCACAGGCTATGTTTTCACCAACTTTGGATGGGTTCAATCATATGGATCCCGTTGTGTCCGTCCTCCAATTGTTGTCGGCGATATTTCTAGGCCGGCTCCTATGACCGTCAAGGAGTCCAAGTATGCTGCTTCTATCACCAGCAAGCCTAGTAAGTCATCGAATGTCTTTTAGTAACTGGATGTCATACTGACTACCATGACAGTGAAGGGCATGCTTACCGGCCCGATCACCTGCTTGAGGTGGTCTTTCCCTCGTGATGATGTTCACCAGTCTGTGCAGGCTGAGCAACTCGCCCTTGCTCTCCGTGACGAGGTCGTCGACCTTGAGACTGCCGGTGTCAATGTTATCCAGGTTGATGAGCCCGCTCTCCGTGAAGGTCTTCCACTCCGCTCCGGAAAGGAGCGTGATGCCTACCTTGACTGGGCCGTTAAGTCATTCCGCCTCGCCACCACTGGTGTCAAAGATGTTACTCAGATCCACTCTCACTTCTGCTACTCTGAGTTCCAGGACTTCTTTCACGCTATTACCGCCTTGGATGCTGATGTCCTGTCCATCGAGAACTCCAAGTCCGATGCCAAGCTATTGAAAGTCTTTGAGGATGAGGCATACCCGAGACACATTGGTCCTGGTGTCTACGATATCCACTCCCCTCGTGTCCCGCCACAAGAGGAGATCAGAGCCCGCATTGAGGAGATGTTGCAGTAGGTATCTCAGCGCCTGGTATGCATAAATAATCACTAACAGCTACTATAGATTCCTCAAACCAGAGCAGCTCTGGATCAATCCCGACTGTGGTCTTAAGACCCGTCAATGGCCGGAGACCCGTGCCGCTTTGGACATTATGGTCAAGGCAGCCAAGGAGTTCCGTGCCAAGTATCAGGCTTAATTCAACATGAGTCTTTCTGACACAAAATTTCTTAGAGGTTCTGGGGGGGTTGGGCGTGTATGGGGAGATTCAACATCGGCGTTTGAAAAATTTCGCGAAGTTATGGGCGCATCTTCATTTTCATTTGTTTTTTTAGTGGGTTAAGGTTTGCGTGTCTGGGTGTATTGATCGTTCAACCGGTGAAAACATATACCACACGACTCGGTATTTGGGTCGGAGTGTCTTCAATTGCCTTTTCTTCTTTCCTATAGGTTTGAAACCCAAAATTGAGACCCATTTCAACCGGAGGTTATGCTTCTCTTTACATATGCAGTGTTTGCGCGTGAGGTTTTGTTTATAATATGTGAAGTTATCGGAATGGTCTATACCATATTATCATACTGGAAGAATTTGGAGTTTCACAATATCCCCCCGGCCCCTTCTAGTGTAGTGTACTATCAGCGCACCGCCAGTAGCATCATTTATTCGCCAAACCATTGCCGTTGCCGAAGCCTTGTGTTAGACACACCCTACCGAAGCGTCGGCACATCCATACACTACACTATATCCCACCCACGAGCTCCACCAAGCCCAAGAAACGCCTAATCAGATAGAACCCATTTGGCGAGAGTAGCTCAGTTCCTGAAGGTGGGTGAAGTTGTCCAAGTGACAGATACAGTATGTACATCAAATAAATCTTATTCACCAGTGGTCATATGGGATCGGTTCCCGCGCTGTCGAGTACCCGAGTGTAGGGGCGTGATTACAGAGCAGCCTCGCAGGAATCTGAAGGAAGTAGGTGGATTGTGCATTGGACAGAGGGGGGGGTAGGAGTGTTGGATCGAAGTGTGAGGGCTTTTTTCTTCCCGGGATGCACATCAGGTGTGGGCAAAGAGTGATTTAATTGGATAGAGGTGTTAAAGTTGTTATCAACGATGGAGGATGTAGAGATATAAGCTAAGTTAGGGGTACTAGGTCAATGATATTCAAGCCTCCTTATGCATTTGCTGACTTTGCGATATCTTCTTATGATACCATAGACTCACGAAAGTCAGACTGGTGTGTGGCCGGAGTGTGACAAGGGACTCATGAGAACATTATCACAATAACCATATCATATACTCGAGTGCTCCAATAATAGCAGGAGCAGGATATTTTTATTGTTGTAAAAATAAAGAGTAAAAAATAGAATACGTTACGCTAAGTTTGAGGTTCATATGGGAGCTTTCCTTTCTCGATCCATTTCCATCCCAAGTGTTTCCATAGTCTACCTGCTAGGGAAGTTGCTATGTTCCATTAATTTTGTCCTTTGGGTTGGTTCGTGAGCGAACCTCTATCTACTCGGGTACCGTAGTATCATTGTTTCCGCTGCAGGATCAGACCGCCGCCGTATCATACTCCCAACTTTCAACGCCTCCATTAACGATTCCTTCTACGTTAAGACTCATGAGTTTTTCCCTTGAACTAGACTAGCTTCAGGAGGACCAACATACCCTTTCCCGTGCGGCCTCGACTGAATTTGTCATAATTATCCTTCCAACAGCAGAATATGTACATGGCATTGCCAAAGCCTGTGGTGTTGTATTGTACTTCTTTGTGCATGAAATCTTAAAGGCAGCATTAGCTTACAGTATCTTCAGGGAGATCTTTTGGGCGGGTTTGTTTGCAGAGACATCCGAGTGGAGGATCAAATTTCCTTACTGGTCGGTAGCTATTTACTTCCGGTTTGGTTCAATTCAAGCTGTGATTTTTTTTCTTTCCTATTTGTGACTTGATGAATAAATTTCTTCACACTCTACACTCAAGCATGATATGAAGCAATCTTTGTTACTTCCTCTGGTGGGCTACAAAGTTACATTGAACCGTTAAGTTACTATGTTGAGCTGTCGGGACACTCTGGAAGGGTATGATACCCATGGTTGCAAGTCAGCGAGCATCTGTGGGGTGTGGCACAACCTTGGCACCTGGCGCGAGTATCATTATAAGGCCCTGCTCGGCTTGCCATAAATATTGTGATTTTTTGAAATTGTATCTCGATTTATTTAAATTGCGATTTTAATCATTTGTTCATAGGATATAGGGTAATGGATCTAAGAGTTTCTACAATAATAAGATACAATTAGAATACTATGATATATACAAATTAATTTCCTAGATGCTATTCTGAGTCCTCCAATCTTTATCCTTCAAATACTTTCAAGCAATGCAAAATATCATCAATATGAACAATTTGCCTGAGCCAGATGATATAGCTGAACCAGCTACGCCGGTATTAACACCAAAGCTCCTTGTATCAGTTGGGCTTGCCACAAGAGTGATCTATGGCTCTCGATACAACACTCAGAATTGTGTCAATCGGGTCAAAACCCTTTATAAAATGAGTGTTTGGAATTAGGGTAGTATAAGATTCTGAAAAATTGTGGTCGTTACCGAGCAGCAATTTTTCCTTTTCAGGATATATCCTATTTTCACCTTTTATCATGATTTATTTAAATTGGTACAAGCCGAGCAGGGCATAATTTTCTATAATATAATAATATTATGGTGAGAGCACTTCAAAATGTACACCAGGCTGAATTCCACTTGTTACATGTGGCTGTGTAAAATGATTGCCAAGGCCAGCTTATATAGTCAGCCAGTGGAGAGTTGATGGAAAGGGATTTGATTCATTAACATCATATTTAATGTATTATAGTTATCTCATACGAGATTAAATAAACCACATTATCATATAATTGGAATTATTAATATGATAATAAGTTGACTTTGAGTTAGGGTAGGTGTAGAATATATATTGAATAGAAATTTAGGTTTTGATTTGCTTTTTATCACACAAATGGTTTGCTTACTTGGCATTTCAAAATGTGGCCAACATAACACTTTTCAAACTTCTGCACCAAAAATCCAGAACCCAGGCATTATTCTATATCTCCTGCTCTTTATGACCTGGGTTTTTTTTCTTCTCAGATTACACTACTGGTTGCTTGACACAACAGAAATTGAAAACTAGCTAATATGTGGTGTGCGTTTTGAAGTGCACGCACCATATTTTTTCCCTTTCCCAGAACTGGGAAGTTTGATCAAAGTCCTATCATAACATATATCCAGCCCTGCTCCCCTTTCTTATCATATCAAGAATCACAAGTATCATACGTCTCGGCATTTAAAGTCGTCGCACAGCCACATGTAACACTTTTCTTTTATGGTATCCTGGTGCACCTTTTGGACCGCCCGAACCGTGCCAATCTTTATGGGAATAATAAGATTACTGATTTTCATTAACACCTGTTGAACTCTGTTGGCCTGAAAAACCCCAATCCTCGGTGGGATTCGACCTCTGTCCCATAACCCAACCAAGGGCACTGGCGTCCCAACACTAAGTGCCCAACAATGAGTGTTACTCGTTCCAAAGAGTAAGTATTTTCCAAACCCGTGCACGCTACTAGGTCATTTACTAGTTGCCCGTATCTTAAATGTGTTCCTCTCGGGGGTGTAGTATCTCTAGAGTTCACTCGCCAACTTCGTGGAGTTAGCCACCATGCCAACCTTGGGGGTCACTGGAGTGCAACAAACAATCTTCTCAATTCCCGCTGAGGCATAATCCTCCCTGCGACTCAGATACGGCTTTAGAAGATGCGGTTTAACCTTCGCTAGCACCCCATCCCTCATCCTGTCCCTCACTGCCGTGGGCCTAACTACAAACAGCGTTCCAATCTCGGCGACTATCTCGAATGCATCCCGCACGGCGGGTATCTTCCAAGAATTCACAACTTCTTGGTACTTTGCCAGGTCCTTGGTGAGCATTATACCACCAGCTTGATTTACAGAGTGACGTTTGAGGTGCTCTAGCAGGGCAGTGCGAAAGCCGCCGCTTATCTCGGTGAGGAAGTGGGTGAGGTTTGCGCCGTCGAGGGAGGTGGTGGCGGTTTGGGTGAGTTTTTCGAGAAAGGCTGTTGTTAAGATGCAGGTCTTGGCTCCTTGGTTAGTTGGGTGATGGGTGGTGGGGAAGGTAATAGGAGGAGATACTTACGGGGGTTTGGAGGGTTGTTAGACGGACTTCATCGTCGCGGGGTTTGAAGTCGGCTTTGCGCTGCTTGCTGAGGAGGAGGGTTATGTGCGCTAGGACAACTAAATTGTTCATGAGCGGCTGAGAAAACAAGGGATTGCTTGGGCGAGGGTCGTACTATCGATGGTCCTCTGAATCACCCCATTAACTTTCTGCTCCAGCGCTGAGAGTGTAGAATTAGTCAGTTTGATCATTTCTCGTTTGATCGTTAGTGAGGTCTGCGACAGTGGGGTTAGGGCTGTATTTATGAATGAGAACATTAGATGCATTATTATGGTAGTGGGCTTTAGCTCTTGCAGATATGATAAATCTGGTTCGCCTTTAGTCTGAGCCTCGGCGGCCTCGATGGCGCTGTAGAGGGAAGGAGTATTAACAGAGGACCCAGAGTAGAGATAAGGAGCACGAACGCGTCTAGAGCGACATCTAAATACATAGTCCTCATGTTCTCAACCAAGATATTCAGCATGACAGACACGTCCCTCGGGCTGTGCTCGTTAGTTTCCCAAATCCCCACCTGGAGAATGCACAGACGCACGTATCAGCCTGTGAACTCAATTCTAGACTTCTCCCTACGGCTTCCGCAAGCCACTTAAGCATTCTCTTTGGAAATTCGACGTTTAGCTTCCCATCCGCATCGGATAGGAGTACGTCGGAGAGATGATTATCTTTCCCGGCTTTACGCTCAAAGCCGATGATTTTGCTGAGGGCATGGCTCTGTGACTTTGCAAGCTCGCTTTCAAGGACTTTTTCTATTGCTCGTTCTCGGGACTTTTTGAGTCGGTCTAGGACTCCGAGGGGTTTCTGCTCCTTGCGTTGTTCCTGTTTTTGTCAGATTTGGAACTTTGGGGGATGTAGGGGGGGGGGGACACAAACATGAAACATGTGGAATTTGAAGAGAAGTCCTGTATATAGCTGCTCTAAACTCTCCTTCTCCTTCTCCATGTATCCCCTATCTTGAAGGTATGGTGTGAATAGTTCTTCAACATTCTGGTCTAAAAGCATAGTAGTGCCTGAGCTCAATGGCCCCGGATGTTCCGTCAGTCCGTGAGCCTTCAGGTCATCTGAAAGCGTCATGACATGCGCCCTGGAAACCTGTAATGTGCGGAGGAAGGCGAGGGTAGAGATATTAGAAGCGTGCTCTAGTACCGCTTCCAGTCGCTGTTGCAGAGACTGTTGAAAAACTCTTTGCAAGAAGGTGCCAAGCACTGCCTCTGGATATGGGAACACCTCTTTGATAGTTTCTGATTCCATTTTCAGAACGTCTCGGATTTCATGAATTAGGGTTAATAGAGTTGGGTCCAGCCCCGGAGGATTGGCATCGGGATCTGATAGTTGTTCTTTAAGGTCGTCTTCAATGACAACCTCGCCGGCATTGATCTTCCCGGCAGCAATAAAAAAGTCCATTTGGTTCAAGAAATTGCTAATCACCGATGCTCCACCATTGAAGTCATGCAAGACTTTGGCGCAGCCCTTCATGGCCGGCACATTAAACTCCCGATATGCATCATCAAATTGCTTTAGCAGATCTTGCTCAAGGCTTTCAGAGAAGGCCTCAATCAGTTCTTTTGTCCCCGGCTTGGCGGTTCCCTCGTTTCGTTTGGCAATCAAGCTCAACTGTCGACTGACAATGGCACACTTGATGCTATCCTCAACCCAGGGAGTTCGCCGCAGCTTTTCTAATCGGGAAGTATCTCCACGGCTAAACTCTGTGTAGCACTGTATTAAGAACTTTGCATCTTCAGCCCGCTGATGCTGCTTCTCCAGCTGCTCCAGTTGCCCACCTATCCTAGAGGCCATGCCCCCGCCATCGGTGATGCTGCTATCGAGGCGTTGAAACTCCGACAAGGTGGTGTTAAATTGGAGACTTAAGCGATCAATTGTGCGGGCATGGTCCATCTCTGCCCTTCGTACGCCTTCTTTAAGCTCAGACTCTTTTGCTGAGAGGTCCTCATCAAGGTCTTTCAGCCGCTCCAGAGCGCCTTCAAATGTGCGGATGTAGGGTTTGGGATCGAAGGTTGGTGCTGAGCGATGTTTTAGCCATCAGAGCGCTAGACTGGGAGCTAAGGGAGAGCGATGATACTGCCAAAATTTGTTCCCGACCGACGATTCGCGGGAATTGCGGAGCCGGTAAGGCCTTCTATGAAGTCCTTCACGATGAAATCAGCGGTCTGTAATTTCGCTACTATTAGTCCCGAACGAGAAGCTTGGCCAAGGAGAATGGGTGTGTAAGTACGGAGAAGTGAGATAAGGAGAATGAGCTTGGTTTAGGGTATATTGAGCGGGAGGTGCGTGAAGACTCAGCAACAGTAGATTTGGTCATTGTTTACGATGTTGATAGCACTCAGGGGGTTGTGAGGCGGAGATGGAGAGGATTTCGGTGCTTGCTCACTTAGATGGTGATTGGGTAAGCAGTTTGGATTTACAAGTAATTAAGTTTCCTGAACACAATAACAATACCCATTTTTATCTCAGGACATAATCCAAGTCAACAAGACCGGGTGTAGAGGGACAGCAGGAAAGATTCTGTATCATCTGAATTTTACAGGAAATATAACGATGACCTGAAAAACTGACCTGGGTTACAAAGTGGGGGGGGGTCGATATTGATGGAAAAAGATTTCAGGATAAACCTAAATAATTGTGTGCTTTTTCTGGATAAAGATTGAGAATAGGCAAGAGTAATAAAACCACGTTGCCTCCTGTTCACTTCTTCTGTCTTTCTCATTGTCTCTCTCCCGGCGGGTTCAATAGCCCCTCTAAATATACCACTTCCATGATGAATTCCTGATGGAGAGATGGAGAAACAACATGACTTGATGACGAATATCCACATTGCCCACCACGAATCCATTTGGGTTGCATGTCTGACAACACCATAGGTTAGGATTAGCCGCCGGCAATCAGGATGATCATGTCTTAATTGATGGATTGGACATTTGGGTCTAGAGTAGAGTACTCGTAGGCCAGGGAAAGAAATCAGGAGGGAGATGTGATGTAACAGCTTGGTAGCATTCGGTCTGGAGCTAGCAGAGGTGCAATGGAGTGTATACTCGAGTATAGGAACATGGGAGAGAATGATAAGGAACTACAAATCTGAGATCAGAAACCGCTCGTACAGCTGATAAACTCGCGGCGGGGGCTATGTCGGTTCGTGTGTAATGTCGGGAAGAGACATACACAGTATGTGTAGGAACAAGAATTAACATTTGACGTCACTCTGGGTATTCGAGTCCGTACCGAGTACTGAAGTGTACCTCTACTGCGTATCTACGTTCCCGACATAACCGCCGAACCGACATAGCCCCTGCCGCGAGTTTACTGCATCACTGCTCATTTCTAAGTGCCAGAGGAACCCTAACCCGAAGGGCCCCGCGCAGCACGTGTTTTGGTGGGGGCTGAGTCAATGTCCATGGAGTTAAATTTAAACGTCAACGACCAACTGTTCTTGTTGAACTATTATATATATTCTCGCCCTTGGTCTCATTTCCACTTTTTGTGCTTCTCCGAATTTCAATCTCTGAAAATATTTACAGTTACCCTGCGATCATGGCTTCTTCACCCCCCAGCGGCTCTCCAAGCTCCAAGGAGAAGAAGTACGACCGTCAGCTAAGGCTATGGGGTGCGAATGGCCAGAACCGCCTTGAACGAGCACATATTGCCCTCTTCGGGGCTACAGCTACAGGCTGTGAGGTTCTGAAGAATCTTATTCTGCCAAGTAAGATATCAAATTGATTGCGAAGGAATTGTGTGGATGCGAAAGCTTGTTAACCCAGTACCTTCAAGGCATTGGACGCTTTACCGTTATCGACGATAAGCTGGTTGAGCAAGCGGACTTGGGTGTCAACTTCTTTCTTGACCAGGACAGTCTCGGGAAGCCACGAGCAGAGAGAGCTGCTGCCTTGTTAGGGGAACTGAACCCAGACGTTGCAGGTGGGTTTAGAATTGATGTGAGCAACAAACCTGCATGAATGGTGCAATCAGATACTCATTTTTTATGGTAGAACTTGGAGAGTATACTCTCCAATACCCCAGGACTCCTAGATCCTCGTACAACTGAGTTCACACACCTGCTTCTGATGTCACCAATCCCAACCCCTCTACTGTTACAACTGCCTGCCGAGATACCTATATTCTTCGTTCATTCACTTGGTTTCATAACTAGCCTCCGGATTTACGCTCCTACCCATACCATTATTGAAATACATCCCGATTCCTTAGTTGATCTTCGCTTATTCAACCCTTGGCCGGAACTTTCAGAATTCGCATTGGAAAAGACAAGCACCCTTGATGTGCCGGAATCCGAGGGCGGAATGGGTGATCATGAGCACGGACACATTCCATATGTACTGTTGCTGTTAAAATATCTGGAAGATTGGAAGCAGTCACATCAGGGTCACCTACCGGGAAGCTATTCGGAGAAAACACTTTTTAAATCAATGATCATGGATAGGATGAGAACGGGAGTTCCAGGTGGGATTGAGGAGAATTATGTGGAAGCCGTGAACGCTGTCATGGGAGATCTACGAACCGCAGAACTCTCAAGTGGGACAAAGGAAGTCTTGAATGACCCCGAATGCCAGAGCATCACATCGCAGGTGCGTTTCCAGAGCCTTTCAACCCTGGGTTCCTGCTGACTTTGTGATAGACGGATGAATTCTGGATCATCGCTCGAGCCGTGAAGGATTTCGCGGGCTCCAACAATGCGCTATTGCCATTATCTGGGGCGATGCCCGATATGAAAGCCGAGAGCCGCGGATACGTGGCTCTGCAGAACTTGTGAGTTACTGATTCTTGATGTTTTTTTGCCCTAGTGTGCTGAAAATTAGTTTCGTAGATATCGCGCTAAGGCGTATAGTGATGCTGCCGCCGTCGAAAGGATTGTTCGAGATTACATGAACCGAGTACAACACCCGAAACGAAACCAGATAGATCGTGATGCAATCCAGCTGTTCTGTCGACACTCAAACTTCCTACGGCGCTTGAACTACCGATCAATTGCTGACGAATTTTCCAACTCTAATGAGCAGCATAAGGGAGTAGTCCTGGGTGCGCTAGGAGATTGGGACGTAGAAAGTTCATTAATTCACCACTATATCGCACTTAGGGCGTATCAAGAGTTCTATACTGGCCATGGCCGGGCTCCTGGGGATACTAGTCACGAGAGTTGTGAGGAAGATTATCAGGAAATTAGGAGAATCATATGCGAGTACCTTAAAGGTATTGGTTATCCTGAAAGTCTGCCGGAGAGATGTGAAAAGGTTGCAAAGGAGATTGTACGGGCAGGGGGTGGGGAGCTCCATGTTACTGCATCACTTGCTGGTGGAATTGTTGCCCAAGAGGTAATCAAGGTATGTCTACGTGAGTTCAGGTTAATGCTATTCTCTGACGGTTCACGGCGAGAAAAGATTATCACGCGACAATATGTTCCGATCAATAATACCGTCATATTTGATGGAATTGGGAGCAGAACTCAGACGTTCGAGTTGTAATTTGAGCCCCTACATAGGTAACACGAAGCATTGTTCATTTTGTTTTGGCGTGTTGGTGGTACCCCGCTTCCTATAGGAGGGTGTGCTTCGGACTTGCTCATTGTGTATAGCTCGCCTTCGGCACGCTTAATATTTGTTCTTGGACTCGACGATAAGGGTTGAGAGGCAGTTATGTACTTATCATCTGTTCCTTAGACTGGTTCTATTGCTGGATCTGTTTGCCCTTTGTCTCATAATATTTTTCATCCTCCTCGGGCTCGTCTCGGGGAAGTGCTATCCCCATTCGAGCCAACAGATTACCTCCCGGGCCAGAGAGCCCGCCTTGACCTTTGAAACTCTCAAGCATATTCTTTGCAAGCATGTAGTCTACGTTGACTTCCTCATCTCCGTCATCGCTCACGTCCCCCTCACCGCAATCCTCTTGTATTTTGGCCATGCCCTTCCCCCGTTCGATTGCCCCAGCTTCCTTGAGCTCTTCCTCAACCTTTGCCATCACCTCTCGAATCTTTGCTTCCTCACCCTCACCCACTCCTTCGCCGTCACCGCTAGCTTGCATTGGCATGCCCATCATCTCGCGCATCATTCGTGAGAACTCAACTTCATCAAAACTAACCTCCTTGTCTTCATCGCTATCGCTCAACTCTTCAGTGTCATCATCGTCGTCGATATCCATGTCGTCGACCTCGGCTCCCTCAACTCCGGCATCCTCATCATTTAGGAATGCCTCAAACCGCTTAACCATTTTCTTCAGCGTTTCCTCCGCCTGTTTATCTCCCCACCCACTTTCCGCCTCCTTTGCTCCTCTCGAGCTACCTGATGGGTCGGCATTGCGTCCTGAAAGATCCCTTTCTAAATCTTCATAGTTGATATCCAACCAATCCTCACCATCGATCCGTTGAGGCCATGATGAAATTTCCTCGTCCGTCGGTGGTGTTTTCGTTTGTAGTATATCTTTAACCCGTCTGACTATATTTTTCCTCGCCTTGGACGAAACTTGTGGAGCAGCGTTGTCACTAATGAGCATTTCAAAACCGCAAGCAAGCTTGATCCCGATCATATTCACAGTTGGCATATCAGGTGAGACCTCAAACCCACTCCCAGATGGTGGTTCGAACTCCTGCGATTTGAGTTGGGCGTAGAGAACTTTGGTAAACCTAACTGAGGTCGTGACCATATCGCTAGGTGGGAAGTGGCTCATCGATTTCAGTGACTTAAGAGATATCGGGTCGCGCAGGTAGAAGGCTTCTACGGCCGCAGCTATCGATTCCGGTGCCTCATGCAAGACCATCGCGCAAGTTCGTGGGATGAGGGCCTCTGTATAATGTAGTTGTTCTTGTATTGCCTTCGGATATCTTTCGAGCCTATAGAAAGCCTCTTCTTCTACCAGACGAATCCGCTGGAGAAGGGCGCACGAGTCGGAGGTGAGGATTGAATAGGCTTCCTTAAGCGTGAGAGGGTGAGCAGCGGATTTTGAACGGTCCGTGAGGGTTGGAGCGACGGTTAAAGGGATTATGAGAAGCTTTGAATCATGTATCCAGACCTAAATATGTTAGTTTGCGAAAGGATGTAATGACAGTGTGACCGCTACCCGGTTATCAGCAACCTCGGGATTGAGCCACCGTGGAAGCGTGCTCGCAGCCTCAATAAGTAGAAACTCGCCGTCCGTATCGTATACTCTATTGGGAGTTAACAAACCTTCAGCGATCCTTCAGAAAAGATAGTGAGGGGAGGAGCCGGACCGAAACCACAAATTTGGGATATTCCTGGTCAATTCCCTTAAGATCCAGACTATCAACCATTCATCATCCACCGAGTCCCCATACTCTGTTCTTCCATGCAAGTACCATCCGACATCTTCAGTTTCGGCAAGTTCGAGTTGAAGGCTGTCCCGTTGCCAGATATAGTCAGCCGTTAGTTCCTCGACTAACTTATCGGCTGTCTGCTTCACCTTCTCCAATTCATCTCGGATGGCGGATTGGTCTGATGCTTGGTTGATGATGATCAGGGTGTATCCCATACAATCATCTGGCAAGGTTCTCTGAGGCGTCCCGTGAAATTGGCCAAAATCGGGAGCGAATGGGTCTGTATTCACCTCCATTTTGTCCGCTGTTGATGTTGAAATTCGCCAAGCCGGTATGATACAAGTATGTAGTGACCAAGCTGCTGCATTTGCCATGCACTTGTATTCTTTTTTTCTGGTTCGCCCTCGCCAATAATCACACACACCTAACCCTACCAAGCAGAGCTACCCGCGGTGCCCCTCCACCCCACCAAACTTCTACTTGCCGATTCGCTTAGCCTCCAACCAAGCCAACAGCCACCTTCCGCTGCTTCGTTACCAGCATCTGTTTTTCCTCGACACCCACTCTCTCAAAGATACTAGTCTAGAGCAAGATGTTGGATGTTCTCAGCTTTATTGAGGCAAGGGGTGGGAACCCGGAGGTGATTCGTGAAGCCCAGAGGAGGAGATATGCACCTGTTGAGGCGGTTGACGAGGTTATTGCTTTGTATGAGGAAGGCCGCGTTGGTTTGTATCTCGTTCTGTTCCCTGATCTTTGGATTTTATTAATTTCTTATGCAGCAAGATTCAATGTTGACAACAAAGGGCGTGAGATCAACACGACACAGAAGGAGATTGGTGCGAAGAAAAAGGTACACCACTTTTGAATTGTCGTTTGCACTCGTAAGAAGGGTTGCTGAACTGCAATATTTATAGGCCAAAGAAGACGCATCACTCCTCCTACAACAAAAAGTCAAATTCGAGGCCGAGAAGAAAGACCTCGAAGTTATTGCTAAAGAAAAGGAGAAACAGTTATATGCTAAACTGGGCACTATTGGGAATATCGTTCACAACTCTGTTCCAGTGAGCAACAACGAGGACAGCAACGAACTCATCAGGAGTTGGACACCCGACGGAGTTAATGTTGAGAAGCATGATTGTCTTTCCCACCACGATGTGCTTGCCCGTCTCGACGGATACGAGGCAGAGCGTGGCGTCAAAGTCGTCGGACACCGTGGCTACTTTCTGAAGCAGTGGGGTGTATTTCTTAACCAAGCACTGATCAATTATGGATTGGAGTTCTTGGCTTCGAAGGGATACACCCCACTTCAGACGCCCCAGTTTATGCTGAAGGATATGATGGCTAAGACTGCTCAGCTTGAGCAATTTGATGACGAGTTGTACAAGGTATGTGTCTGTGCGGGGATGAATAGGCGGGCCCCCCGGTGTACACTAGTGGGGTTCTGATCAAGGTGCATAACAGGTTGTAGATGGAGAGGAGAAGAACGACAAATACTTGATCGCTACCTCCGAACAGCCCATTTCCGCTCTTCATGCCGATGAATGGTTGCAGCAGAAGGAGCTCCCTATTAGGTACGCGGGTTTTAGTTCATGCTACCGTCGTGAGGCGGGGGCCCATGGAAAGGATGCTTGGGGTATTTTCCGAGTTCACCAGTTCGAGAAGGTATGGTACGATTTTTTTTTTGGCAGGTGGCTGCTAACAAAAACCCAGATTGAGCAATTCGTCATCACAGATCCTGAGAAGTCTTGGGAAGCATTCGATGAAATGATCAACTATTCTGAGGAATTCTACAAGTCCCTCAATATCCCTTACCGTGTCGTCACCATTGTGTCAGGTGCGCTGAACAATGCCGCTGCGAAAAAGTATGATCTCGAGGCTTGGTTCCCTTTCCAGGGCGAGTACAAGGAACTCGTTAGTTGCTCTAATTGCACAGATTATCAGTCACGTAACCTGGAGATAAGATACGGGACAAAGGCTCAGACTGACACTGTCAAGAAATACGTTCACTGTCTTAACTCCACCCTCTGTGCGACTGAGCGTTCTCTTTGTTGCATTTTGGAGAACTACCAGACCCCTGAGGTATGCGGTTAAAATCTGCCCCAGAGAGTTGCTCAAATGCTGACTTGACGGATAGGGTATCAACGTCCCCGAAGCCCTCAGGAAGTACATTCCTGGGGCTCCAGTGTTTATACCATTCAGCAAAGAGTTGGCTACGAATAGCACCTCGATGAGGAGGGGGAAGCCTAAGGCGTAGATAGTTAGATAGTGCATAATTAGTAGCAAAAACTAGGGTGCCCACTACACAAATAGCTTCAATACTAGACTTGAGTTGGGGGATCTATGTATTTTGTTTCTAGTCGCCGATTAGAGCGTGAGATGCTGGGTTGGGATTGCCAAACGTGGAGAGCTCGGTCTTCAACAATGTGCACAGTGGATGGGGACCCGGGAGACGAAATGGGCGCCGTTGTGGGTTAGAGAAGCTGATCTAAAGAGTCCTTTGGAACCTACCATTTTAGAGATACTATTGAGTCCATTAAGAAGTGATACTCCCTAGAGGTTCGATCCGGTAAGAGTGGCCAGCGATGTTCCTACAGTGTATGGTGCAAGTAAAAGAGACCTGAATAAAGTCTTCCCACTCACAAGTTCAACTTCCTGATTTTGACTACCACGTACGTACAGTCACTAAATTGACTCGAGTACCGTATTTACTCGGTTTATTCAGACGGTCGCCAAGATGATTTTCACGGATCACACAATAATAGCGTAAGAGCTTGGCCTATTTTGGCTATGGGTTTGATTATTCAGCAGTATGGCTATCCCTTAAACTGCTGAGACTTTCCAGTCCAGTTTGCAATCTGGAATACCAGCCTATTATGGAGTGATCAGCAGTCACGTGATATCAAGTTCTGGCAAATACTTAAGGAAGAGAAAGTGCAAAAAGACATAATTATTGGCAACAGAATAATAGCAAACTAGAAAAAAAAAACCAAAGCAACTAATATCCCACCATTACTCCCACTTCACCAAAGCCAAAACAGCGGATTAGTACAGGGCTCCATTGCTTTAGGGTCGTCCAACCAACCTCTATCGTGTGCCATGAAAGCAGAGTACTCTTTTATGAGAATCAGAATAACCGTACTATGTGTAAAGCAACCCGTCGCCCTCCCCTTATGAGTTGATAAGCAGAGAAATAGATAGAAGAGAGAGAAGAAAGCCAGGAAAATGAAAAGGAAAGGAAGAGAAGCGATTGAAACAACTAGCTGAAGATTAGTAGAAGCCTATGAATCTAAACGTCTAAGTGAGAACAAACAGATATCATAATAGGATTGACTTACCAAGCTGAGGATGTAGAAATTCATGCTCAATACTAGCTAATATAGCTTGAGCTGTGAAAGATAGGAAAACAGGCACGGCAAAGTGCGTAAATACACTCACGGCAGCCCAAGTTCACAGACTTAACTGTCGTCTGAGGAGCTTGTAACTTGTGCCTCCGGCACAAGATACAATGAGTATGAATGGGCCGCTGCTCATACTGGTGGGTACTAGGTGGAGGGAACGTAACAGGCAATGGCTTATGAGGGGGAGAGAGTTGGTGGCTATGTGTACCTCGCATATAAAATCGCTTTTCGTGTAATTCTCGGCGCTTTTGGATTTCGGAGATCTTGGGATAATTGAGACTGGCACCCGTAGTATGAATATTCGATGTGGATTCAGAGATGTCGGTGCTACTAGTAGGATTAGTTAAATGCGTATAATGTCAATACTCGGGGGTGTCAGTAAAAATCAGAAAACTATTGCTGCTGATCTCGTACAAAACTTTGTAGAGATAAGGGTTATGTTTTCCAATTTTCAATGACCCCCCCGGCCGGCTAAGTAATAAATTTCAGGTAGTAAGAATCGAGATTCCGGGGGAGGGGGGTTCTTACTGCTTCCGAAGACCTATATCAATCAACTTATTGGCAAGCTCAAGGCGGAAAAAAAAGTGCTGGCTGTTGCGCTTTTTCCCAGGAGAGAGGATCCTTTGCATCCGATATGCATTAACTATTGTAGTGTCTAGTAACCAATAAAATAATGGATACCAGTTACATCGAGTTGTTTGCTGTGTACAATAGTAGGATCTAAGCTGATCGGCCACATCTACCGCTCCCATGTGATAGTTGTAGTCATCAATGAATTCAGGAATTGGTAGACTTTTCCTTGATTCATTACTAAAGACACAGCGAACCATGGCAGTATTGGTGCTAGACTTTTTAGGGCAGCAGAGCAAGCATTTAACTGTTTTTGTAATGTTCCTACTCCATTATGGTTAATTCTTCAACAGGTAACGACCATACCTTTTACGTTCTCTCGGTATCTCAATAACTCGGGGAACTAATATCTTTACTATCACTTCTAATAGTCAAAGATTGTCTGGTACTCACGTTACCTCTCCTAAGTGAGACCTCTTTCTCATGTAGCATCATGGAAGATGTTTGTAAAGTATTGGTTCAACTAATAGTATAGGAAAGAACTTAAGAGGTTGTATGAGGAGTCTGTACTGTAGGTCCTTTACTTTGATTATTATTATTATTATCATGTATTTGTTGATAAGATACAAGAACATGCATGCAGCGCTAGCTATGGCATAAACAAAACATTAATCGCGAGGCAAACTCAAACAACAGAAACTAAACTATTGCCTTCAACTGTCATGAACAGCTGATATCGCAAGACCCAGAAAGCTAAGCATAAAGGGAAGCATTCAACCTAAATCAAAGAAAACCTAACTAATAAAGAAATAAAAGAAAAGAAGACTTTCCAACTTCTGAACCAAATTGGAGGATAGGGTGGTAGACAATGGGGCTGTCCCATCAGTGGATCGAAGTGGGGGGTTATGATCTCTGAACATAGGCATTTTGGAGGGAAACCAGTTGCCGTGGCAAAGATGTAGGTGGCAAGGCTACCTAGGAGGGTCGGTATTGACCAAAGGGGCTCTTTCTCGCACAGGTTCTCCACCACCAGGAGGTGGAGGTTCCTGGGGTGCTCACAGGAAGGACAGGTAGAGATGGCATGGTGGAATATCACGGTTTCTGTCTCACAGTATGGAAAGATATTGGAGGCGTCGAGCTCCTACCCAAAGTAATAACTGGGCAGGTAGTGGTTACCTAATCTTATCTGATAGATGCTTCCTGCCATGAACTTGCTGAGTATTAGGAATACCATGATCTGATATCTAGGAATTACCCTAAGTAGGATAACCTTACCTGGAATTGGAATCCCTGGTCTTTAACACCCCTCTCCAGTCCCCTTACTGGGCCTGCAGGTCATCATACATATCAATCACAGTTTCGTCCTGTGACAATAATGCCACAAAGTTATGAGTGTCAGTATGATACTATATACCTCACTGCCGTCTATCCCACCAGATCTCGTTTAAAGGATATATGAGTGGGGACACTCAGCTAGGTCTGAGAAGTAGAATAGAGTTAATCCGTCAGCTACTCAGAGAGTTACTAGGCTTCAAAGAAGTAATGTCTTTGGCATGGGCTGTAAGTAAAAGGACAATTTCACACAAAAAGATGGTATTGAATGGTAAAGAATCTCAATAAGAGACCAATATATTCACATCTACTCTACGATAACTAGTAGAGTCTAGAACTCTGAGGGACACTACCATGAAAGCCAATAGACTTCCTGGAGTATTACAACTAGGTCTTTGGAACACATTATAGTTGTAAGAATACCTTCCAATACTACAACAGCAATTGAAATCCTGTTATCCAGTGCAACTAAGGATTGTCAACTGAGGGAGTATTTGTCAATCCTGTGGAATAGCTTTCTTCAAATTAGTAGGAAGTCCTCCGAAAGATATCTATTGGTTGGGTAAGGAGCTATGAAGGATTGAAGTCAGGCAACCTAAAAAGGTTACAATTACAACTACCTTCACAGATGCAACCCTCAGATAAAACTGATCATTTCATCAATGATGGAGACAATTGGGGCCAACTCGGTTTGACTTGAGAACTAGGCCACAGGTTTAAAGACTATAATGATCAGATAACTACTATTGGGAACAGTATAGTTCCGAGTTAGTTATATTGTAATTGCCGAAAGGGGTATGATGATTTTCAGGTTCTTCAGGTGTTCACATCTTTTAAGAAAACCTGAGGTTACGAGTTATACTAAGAGAAGTATATAGTTGTATAATAAATAGACGTACTCTACAAACACTTAGATGTGGAATATAAATATCGAAGTTCTTCCCAAGCTTTAGACATCATCAAGTAACAGAGAAGAGACCTTAACAAAATAATATTGTCTTTATAATTCAATTCTACTTTACCTATTTTTACTTCACTCTTAGTAGTCATAATGGAAACGAGTGAGGTCTGAGCATACCTAGAAAATCTCTGACTTCAAAAACGAATTTTAGTTGGTTTAGACAAATCTGAATTTTATCAGGTTGTCTCTGCCTAATAGTATATTGTTAGATCTTCTTATTACCAAGGGTCTCTACCTATCTACCTATCTTTTCATACTGCATGACGTGGCAAGGACACCAAGTATCCTGCCACATATGCTACTCAAACAGAAACTTCCAAAAAACCCGTACTTTCTAGCTCGTGTACGAGAAAAAGAAGCTCGTAAATGAGCAAAGGAGATGTCACAACCTCTTAAGCAGATTACCCCAGGGGACCCAAGGGATACATCTGGAGATCACTACTTCACAACTCTCAGTTGTTCATCCTCTCTCTCTCTGGCTCTACAAAAACCCTTCGGAGGACCAGTAGGCAAAACTTTCATTATCTCACCATCCTCAAGGGCCCCCTCTCCTGTCTCAGGACCCTTCCCACTACATCCAATCACCCATGCAGCAGATCTTACAATGCTTGCTGCTAGGGTTGGAATAGTTATAGGTTAAATACGACAGGATATTTCAATCAGTATCAATACTGCTAATATTGCCAATAAAACTCTGTCATCTGACTCACAGGCCAACATCACGAACCTAGCAATGCTCCGTCGACCAT